TCTATTTAAGGCAGCATATTTTCGAATAATTGGTAGTGTCGTGACGTGATTACCAGAACCCACTTGTGAGTAAGAGAAAATCACTTAGAAGTTGATTGTCAATCAACCATTGACGTGCCGGAATTACAAAAAACCTGTCTCATACTTTGCATGTGGGACATCAGTTGACGTTAGCCACTCGTTAGCAGTACTTCCTGGTAGCTAATTTTAGTTTGAACGGCGTACCCGAAGAAATGGAATCTTACTAAAAATTGATTGTATTGTTGGAGGTTGATAAGTTCACATTTGCAGTAAACAGTAAACATACCCAAAGGGAGTGTGGATGTCATACTTTTGAATGCCATATTAGTAGTTATGGTAGTGTCTAAAAATAAAAATTTCTTCATAATATTTATCATCTTTTACCCTTTAATAATCTCAGAGGAAATTCGACAAATTCCGCGCATAAAATAACGTTTTAAACTTTTCATAAAACTATATAGGTTTGCATTGAGAAAAGCAATCTTTTAGAACACAATACTGCTCTACCTAGCCAAATTCTTGCTAAGCCTAAATAACTGGTTATCTAAATAAGGCTTTTATTTGAGTTTTCAAAATTGTATTCAATGTATAGGTTCTCAGAAACAACAATGGCGTGATCCAACTATGAGAAATGGATCGTAAAAGCTTGCTCGAGAAGAATTAGATTTTCTTCTTCTATTTTGAAGGTTATTTTATGGAATGAGTTTCCACGCACTTCAGCGAGTTTTCATAACATTTTTTGACATTGGGGAAATCTCCGAGGATAGGAAAATGGTAGGTTAATTTCTACAAGGCACATTGTTGTGAAATAAGACATTACCTCTCGAAAGTTGAAAAATGTCAATCATTAACGTGAGCGATAAAAAGACGACTCCCATAAAACTCAGCAAACTTATGTATTCAGCACATAAATAGTTGTTATTAGCCTGAAATATTTTTGGCCCGTAACAGCTACTTACCCAGAGTTGTCGAAAATAGTGTTGAAGCAGGAACTGTAAAAAAAATGACATTAAGCCACTGTATTATCAAACTGTTGTAACAGCTTGGAATTTTGAATCGACATCAGTAATGGGAGTAATTTAGACCAGTAACCCCGGTGGTTCTCGTGGTCCATCATAAGAATGACGGAGAAACAAAAAATAATGTTTGAGAACCGTAAATTTAAACGATATATCATGACGCGATCATTTCACAATCATCATCAATGATAAAATGAATACGGCTTTACATAAACAATGTACGTGAACAATCGTGTTTGCTTGTATAGCATTTTTGATCGCGCTTGTATTTCTAAAATAGTGTTTCAATTATAAGTAAAAATAGCGAATTGTGCGCTGAGATAATCGAATTTTAAGACAGACTCGATTTTACGTCGTTGGGGAAACAGTTAGGAAAAAGCGAATCCCAAATTTCCGTTAAATATATATTTGAAATCCATGCTTATCAGTAAAACAACTCGAAAATTAAGAAAATTAAGCTTGACCCTGTCGTTGTTGACGATCGAGGCTTGCAAACTAAAATTTTTCTTTGAAATATTCTCAGTTTAAGATATGAGGATACCGAACTTCGGTTTACTCTCGATTTAAACTTCATGCTTCTCAATAAAACAACTCAAAAGTTAAGAAAATTTGGTATAAATATAACTTCAAAAAAATCGAACGACTGCTATATTTTTAGTTAGTACTGCATTAAATTAACAAGCTTGTTGAGCGATCTTTGCTGCTAACCTGTCGTCGTTGTCGAAGCAAGAGTAGTGGTTGGCCATGTTGTTGTTGTCGGAGCAGGAGTAGTGGTTGGCCATGTTGTCGATGGAGGCGTCCAAGCTAAAATGTTTTTAAAATTAATCTGAACAATCAATCAGCTTTACTACAACAAGGTTTAAGACAAAGGGCAATTATTTTTGAAAACTGCTTGTTGGTACAATTGCTTCAAAGCATAATTTCAGAGTCACTTTTGACGATTCTTGTTTTATTATGATGAGAAATTATTGAACACCCATATTTTAGACTAATGTCGGCATGTGTTAGTCTAAAATCAGAGGCTTTCAAATTTTTTGGTGCTGCGAAACTCTGATGATTTATTTTAGAAGCTCGAGGAACCTGTGCAAAGTTTAGTTTTCTTTTTTATCGTATATACTATAAGTATTTTAACAAAAGCAAACCTGATATTTAATATTGTACTGTCAAAACAAAATATTTTTTTTTAATAACGTGTAGCAAGTGTGACAATAAAAGAAAATTTAATGGAATCTGATTATACTTGAACAACATAAACGTGCATAAATATAGACGACGCTCGGATTGCAATTGGGGCTCTCTGACTCAGATTTGAATGGAAAACTTACAGAGCCTCTGGACGTGAACTAGTGTAAGCCTATGGTGTCGTGAAACAACGGTTGAAAACCATAGATCCAAAAGGATGTTCCCTCTAAAAGGTAAGTAAGATGTTTTATGGTTGAACGAAAAAGTGGAAATTACTTATAAATTAACTTACTCGGTATTGGCGATGTTTGAGCACCAGTAGTCAATTCTGTAACTAAATGAATAACATATTATTAGCTAGTGCTACATGAGAAAGTGTAAGATGTTTTACGATTGAACGAAATAGTGGAAATTACTTATAAATTAACTTACTCGGTATTGGCGATGTTTGAGCACCAGTAGTCAATTCTGTAACTAAATGAATAACATATTATTAGCTAGTGCTACAGGAGAAAGTGTAAGATGTTTTACGATTGAACGAAATAGTGGAAATTACTTATAAATTAACTTACTCGGTATTGGCGATGTTTGAGAACCAGTAGTCAATTCTGTAACTAAATGAATAACATATTATTAGCTAGTGCTACAGGAGAAAGTGTAAGATGTTTTACGATTGAAAGAAAAAGTGGAAATTACTTATAAATTAACTTACTCGGTATTGGCGATGTTTGAGAACCAGTAGACAATTCTGTAACTGAATGAATAACATATTATTTGCTAGTGCTGGAAGACGTTCGATTTGAAGCTTACGAATCAATTGAGAAATGAGCATTCCAAGTTCAAACTAATTGCGGTTTTTCATATTTCTAAGTTAGGGCCTCAAAAATGTATTCTAGTTTCCAGAAAATGTTATTCTATGCCATAAATGAATCGAAGATAAACAGATATTTAACAAATAACTGTCATTATCTACTCTACTATGTGTGCTTCAGTCATGGGGCATCTTGAGGCGAGACATTTCTTTCGGACCCAAACACAACACAAATCAAGTTTTGCTAGTCTAATACTCACACGTAGTTGAATTGAAAAAAATTGAAAGAACTGTAACATTGGTTAGTATTTCCATGTCCAAAGAAATGGTTTTATACCTATATTCTAAAATTTATACGAATACAAGTTATATTGTAACAGAAGTTGTTTAACTTTTGTGACATAGTACAGTTCAGGGTGGTCTTTTTGCCTTGGTTATTTCAAGGAAAAAGTAAGTTGCAAACTACGAATCATGTTGTTTCGAATAAAAATATTATGATTCGTCATACGGCTGTCGTAATCGTATGGAAAACAAAGTTCGGTGACCAACGCGCGGTTTAACATTTGCGTGAATTAAAGTGCAGATAAAACGTCACAGATATTAAACGTGTCAGATATTACGTCGTCGACGAAACATTTAATTCTGAGACGAACTGTTTGAAATTCCCTCTAGTCTCAGATTAGGCTGCAACTGAGTTGAAGATGATCGATACTTATGAGGAAGACCAACTGAAATGCGCTTTAAGAGAAGGGACCATTGAGTTACGGAAAAGTATGCCAATGGGAAAAGACACCAATGTCTAACAAACTACGCTTAGAATATTGTCAATGTTTGGGTCAATTTGAGTCTGCGAATCTGTGTCTTTCACCCTAAAACACGTGGAATCGAAGGATTGATCTGTTCTGACTTCCACATGCAAAAGAACTGCTTCGATTGGTCACAGCGAGCAAGCAAGCAAGCCAAGTTTAGAGAGCATTGTTCAATCCAAGGAATCCCACTAAGTAGCATGTATAACAATAAATGACTTGTAAATTTATGTCATAATCATGTTCGTTAGCGACATTTACAAAAAAACTAGCATCCTAAGAGAGCTGAATAAGGGTATATATATCTAATAAAGTCCGAACGGCGGCTCTTGGTCTCTGACTAGTTGGCCACCCCTGGTCTAGTTGTTGAGTGGAACCTGAACTATCGATCTACGTGAAATAAAACTGCTATCACTGTCAATGGAAAATACCCTTCAAATCTATTTTGCAAATAATGAATACAATTTTCTATTATCTCGTCTATCTATTATATATAAAATAGTATGAAAATATGCCCTATATTCCGCATGGGTGAAATCGGCATAGAGCATTGGTTCTCAACCTGCGGTACGCGAAAGATGATCAAGCAGCTTTGAATTATTGTAACAATTAACTTTTGAGTTGGCCAAAATATGCCGACAACGCTTTATCTTCCATATATACTGTATGTATTCGCTGAACGGCTTTCATGAATGTTTCCCAGTGATTTAAAAACGAGTCATTAAATCTTACGACCTTACCTCTTCTTGCCATTTTAGGAAAGAATTCCAATGGTATGTCTCCATATCTATTTGAGACATATATATAACTAAGGCATATTGCTCTGGAACTAGACAATGTATCTCGGAAGTTTGAAGATGATAAGCAGTTTTGTGAGCAAGAAAGAGGCGATCAAAATGCAAATGCTTGTGAGTAAAAGAAAATCACTTAGAAGTTGGTTGTCAATCGACCATTGACGTGTCCGGAATTACCAAAAAAACTGTCTCATTCTTTGAATGTGGAACATCAGTTGACGTCAGCCACTCGTTAGCAGTACTTCCTGGTAGCTAATTATAGTTTAAACGCCGTACCCAAAGAAATTAAATTTTACTAAAAATCGATTGTATTGTTGAAGGTTGATAGGTTCACATTAACAGTAAACAGTAATACAAACATACCCAAAGTGGATGTGGATGCCATACTTGTGGATGTCATAGTAGTAGTCATGGTAGAGCCTTTGAGAAAATAAAAATTTCTTCATAATAGTTATCATCTTTTACCCATACATACATATAATCTCAGAGGAAATTCGACAAATTCTACATAAAATAACGTTTTAAACTTTTCATAAAACCATATAGGTTTGCATTGAGAAAAGCAATCTTTTAGAACACAATACTGCTCTACCTAGCCAAATTCTTGCTTAGCCTAATTGATTGATTATCTAAAAAAGACTTTCATTTGGGTTTTCAAACTTGTATTCAATGTATAGGTTCTCAGAAACAACGATGGCGTGATTCAACTATGAGAAATGGATCGTAAAAGCTTGCTCGATAAGAATTAGATTTTCTTCTTCAATTTTGAAGATAATTTCATGGAATGAGTTTCTACGCCCTCCAGCGAGTTTTCATAACATTTTATGACATTGGGGAAATCTCCGAGATTAGGAAAATGGTAGGTTAATTTCTACAAGGCACATTGCTGAGAAATTAGACATTGCCTCTCGAAAATTGAAAATGTCAATCATTAATGTGAGCGATAAAGAGACGACTCCCATAAAACTCCTGTATTTAAAAAATAAATAGTTGTTAATAGCCTGAAATATTTTTGGCCCGTAACAGTTACTTACCCAGAGTTGTCGAAAATAGGGTTGTAGGATGATGGAAATGACAGGAAAATGACAGAAGGTGAACTGAGTTAAATTGGATTTATCGCGCGATCTGTATTTTAAGTCACTGTAGTATCGAACTGTTCTACCAGCTTGAAATCTTGAATCGACATCAGTAATTGGAGTAATTTAAACAAGTAACCTCGGTGGTTCTCGTGGTTCATCATGAGAAAACCATGAATAACTGAGCCACAAAATAATGTTTGAGAACCACCAATTTAAACGATATATAAGTATATCATGCCGCGATCGTTTCACAATCATCACCAATGATTGACTGAGTATGGCTTTATTTGAACAATGTACGTGAACAATCGTGGTTACTTGTATGGCTTTTTTGATCGCGCTTGTATTTCTAAAAGATTGTTTCAATTTTAAGTATAAATGGTAAATCGTGCCATGAGATTATCGAATTTTTAGACAGACTCGATTTTATGCTTTTCAGTAAAACAACTCAAAAATTAAGAAAATTTATGTAAACTTCCTTGTATAAATATATCTTTAAAGAATCGAACAACTGATATATTTTAGGTCAAAAAAAATAATCCATTGAATTAAAAAGCTTGACCATGTCGTTGTTGTCGATGGATGGTTCCAAACTAAAATGTTTTTTTAAAATATTCTCAGTTAGGGATACGAGGAAGGCGAACTCCGATTTACTCTTGATTTAAACTTCATGCTTGTCAATAAAACAACTCAAAAGTTGAGAAATTTTAGGTACGCAAAAAAACGACTGCTATATTTTTATTCAGAAACTACTGCATTAGATTAACAAGCTTGTTGTGCTTTGCTGCTAACCTGTCCTCGTTGTCAGAGCAAGAGTAGTGGTTGGCCATGTTGTTGTTGAAAGCTCTTAAACTAAAATGTTTTTGAAATTAATCTGAACAATCAGCTTTACTTTAACAAGGTTTGAGACGAAGGGCAATTATTTTGTTGTACACTTACTGTTGGTACGATTGCGTCAACGCATAATTTCAGAGTCACTTTTGGCAATTCTTGTTTTATTATAATGAGAAATTATTGAACACCCATATTTTAGACTAATGTTGGCATGTGTTAGTCGAAAATCAGGGGTTTTCAAACTTTTAGTGGTTGGACACTCTGAAGATTTATTACAGAAGCTCGAGGAGCCTGCGCAAAATTTAATTTGATTTTTTATTGTCTGAATTGTATAAATATACACAAAAGCAAACCTAATACTGTACTGACAAAACAAAACGATTTTAAATGGGTAGCAAGTACGTTCGCAATGAAACCAAATCTAATAGGATTTGATTTAATTTGAATATACCCAAACAACCCAAACAACAAACAACCAAACAACAAACTTACGGAGCCCCTAGTCGAAGCCTATGGGGTCGTGAAACAACGGTTGAAAACCACTGGTCCGAGAGGATGCTCTTTCGAAAATTTTAGAAAAAGTGTAAGATGTTTTATGATTGAAAGAAAAAGTGGAAATTAATTATAAATTAACTTACTCGGTATTGGCGAGGTTTGAGCACCAGTAGTCAATTCTGTAACTAAATGAATAACATATTATTAGTTAGTGCTACAGGAAAAAGTGTAAGATGTTTTATGATTGAAAGAAAAAGTGGAAATTACTTATAAATTAACTTACTCGGTATTGGCGATGTTTGAGCATCAGTAGTCAATTCTGTAACTGAATGAATAACATATTATTAGCTAGTGCTTGAAGACGTTTGATTTGAAGCTTACGAATCAATTGAGAAATGAGCATTCCAAGTTCAAGCTAATTTAGGTTTTTCATATTTCTGAATTTGGGCCCCCAAAAATTTATTCTAGTTTCCAGAAAATGGTATTCTATGCCACAAATGAATTGAAGATAAACAGATATTTAACGAATCTCTGTCATTATCTACTCTACTGTGTGTGCTTCAGTCATGGGGCTTTTTGAGGTGAGGCATTTCTCGCGGACCCAAACACAACACAAATTAAGTTATGATAGTCTAATACTCACACGTAGTTAAAAGGAAAAAAATGAAAAGAACTCTGACATTGGTTAGTAGTTCCATGTCCAAAGAAATGGTTGTATACCTATATTCCAAAATTTATTAAAATACAAGTTATATTGTTAAAGAAGTTGTTTAATTTTCGTGACATAGTCTAGTTCAGGGTGGTCTTTTTGCCTTGGTTATTTCGAGGAAAAAGTAAGTTGCAAACTACGAATCATCTTTTTTCGAATAACAATATTATGATTTAAAATACGGCTGTCGTAATCGTATGGAAAACGAAGTTCGGTGACCAACGCAAAGTTTAACATTTGGGAAATTCCCTCTAGTCTCAGATTAGGCTGCAACTGAGTTGAAGACGATCGATCCTTATGAACCTTACCTACTGAAATGCGCCTAAAGGGAAGGGACCATTGAGTTATGGAAAATACTCAAATGCCAAACGAACTACGCTTAGAATATTGTCGATGTTTGGGTCAATATACGTCTGCGAATCTGTATCTTTTTCCCTAAAACACCTGAAATCAAAGCATTGATCTGTTCTGACTTCCACATGCGAAAGACCTACTTCGATTGGCCACAGCGATATGCAAGTCAAGTTTAAAGAGCATTGTTCAATCCAAGGAATCCCACTAAGTAGCATGTATAACAATGAATGGCTTGTAAATTTATGTCATAATCATGTTGGTTAGCGACATTTACAATAAACTAGCATTCTAGGAGAGCTATATAAAGGTATATATATATCTGATGTTCATGTGTTCTTGTTCATGATGTGGCTTTCCGCGGTAATAAAGCCCGAAATGCGGCTCTTGGTCTCTGACTGGTTGGTTACCCCTGGTCTAGTTGTTGAGTGAAACCTGAACTATCGAGCTACAATCTACATAAACTAAAACTGCTATCGCTGTCAATGGAAAATAATCCTTCAAATCTATTTTGCAAAAAATGTATACAATTTTTGGACTTCCTGAAGTATGTGCACCAAGATGAATTCTCCTGAGTTCAGGTTGTGTACCAGATTAGGGTTCAGGTTATGCGACATCTTGGTGCGCATACTTCAGGAGTACCCAATTTTCTATTATCGTGTCTATTATATATAAAATAGTATAAGAATATGCCCCATATTCCGCATGGGAGGAAACGGCATAGAACTTACTATCACCTTTATCATGTACGCACAGTCAGTTTTATGCCCATACATGTTAAAATCCATTCATGCAAGCCCATTTGCTGACCAAAATTGAAACCATTTCAAACTTTTATTGCAGTCTACGGGAAACAATCCGTCGAGGCTATTCTACAACAAATGTGGACAATTCGCTGTAATTGCGCTTTAGGCTACTGCTAGTTCTGGAGGAGTACGAACAATAATGAGAAAAATGATGGAGAATGCAGTATAAGCGTGAGACCACCGCAGCCTTCTTCTCAGATGGGGTGCAAATTGGTTTGTTAAATTCAAAGCAATGGCCAGTTGCATAGCGCGATTGCGCAATCGTCGGACATCAATGTTTTGATCCCAACATTGGGTCGGCGTGGACATAATTCATATTAATACCATGATGAAAACATTCTTTTGCATGCGTGTCGGATAGCTGCCACGAATATAAACGCTATCTATAGGAGAAATCTCTACTGGAAAAAACACTGCGAGAGTATTCTTAATGAATCCGTAACATATTATGTTATGAACCTATGACCGAAAAATTCAAATGCATCATACACCAGGGGGGTTTCTCCAAGCCTTTCACCTCAGAAAAACTCTCCTTAGTTAGCAATTTTGATTCAAAATATTTAACCGTCATCCACCACCTAGTCTGCTAGAGCTTTGCCGGACTTATTTTCGTTTACTGCAACTAAAATCAAATTGCACAAAATGGCAGTTGATTTATCAGATTCATACCTACATTTTTGAAACGTAAGGTATAAGCGCGAAGTGTCTGACATGCTGCACAAATTTAATTGTTATATCACCATGCTGACGCGGGGTAAGGATACATTGCATGATGTACAATAGAAAATAGAGGTTGGTACGATTAGTTGAAGCTAACGACTCGTATACGGTTCAAAATACGGCCCGGAAGGGTTCAAGACTTCTACTATTTCTGGACGCTAAGTTATAATATCTTAAAAAGATTTGTACGCAACCATTTTTAAAGGATCGGCTACTACCTTCATACAATTCCAAAGTCACGCAAAAGCACTTTTGCTAAAGTATAGTATGAACGCCTCTCCATTCAACTACACTCGATCCACGACACATTCTAATGTCAATATCACGATGAAAAATCTAGACTAATCATATTATGGCCGTGATATTAGTCAAAGAAGGTCATGCGCACCAGAAGGAATGCATCCGCTTTTTCCTTATATTTTATTCTTCCCTTTGCTTTACTTTCATTCTTGACTTGTGAAATAATAAACGCGGTTCCAGATTTCAGTCCCGAAATATTTGAATCCAACGGATTCGATAACAGAATTCGGCTTTGGCCATCGAAATTTTATATTTCTATTAAGCATTTATTTGCTTGAAGGCCGATGATATCTCTCGATTGACATGCGCGCCTTTATTGGACACGAAATTTACATCTTGTAAGAAATATTTCCTCATTTCAATTATGGACACTAGGTTGTCTTCTAGAAAAGTCTTTCGCAATATTTATATTCCGTAGTCGTGCCAGTTTTGCGATTCCATTAATTTTATAAGCACAGAAGACTCATATTCGGTTGAATGAAATGATTTCTTATGCGAAATTTTATACTAAGAATCAATTGCATGCATTATGCCCATGTTTTATAATACACGAGTCGCAAATGTATTTAATTGAGCCAACTTGGCTGTCTATTCCGAACAATAATCTGGCATCCTTGATTTCTCCCGCAGGTCGCCCTCATGTTTTTGTGTTTTTAGTAAGCGCTGGAATTTTGTTATTTGTAAGTTCTGTTTTCTTGTTTGTTTTTATTTAGTTAGTTTTATTATTTGGAGTGATGGTCATATAAATAGATTAAATTGTGGGTAACTGCTGAAATAAACTGTCCCACTGATGATCATTGTTTTTATGCACTTTTATTTAAATTAACATGTACACTCGCCAGTAACCCTGGCCTCACCCGCGCAGGGGGCAAAAACGGTAATCATAAATAAATACAAATAAAAACTTAACATTAACAAAAAAGTTAAATTGAACATGTAAAGAATAACAGGTCAATATAAAGAAAGAGTACGGTTTATCTAACTTAGCCAGCCCCTCAAAGAATATAGAACAGAAAATCATAAGCAAAAATAACAAACATAAAATTGTAGCGAGAGGCTGGCAAACTCGGCGATGGGTTCTAAACATGGAAAAATCTAACTGAATTATATTTACCGCTCGCCTTTTCCTATCAACCGGGATGAAATTCGGAATCAATAATGTGGAAAATTGTGATAAATTATCAGATTAAAATAGAAACGATCAAACTAATAAACCCCGTGGAAAAAAGTGTGCAATAACTGCAAATTAAAGTTGGAATAACTAAGGCAAGCGATATGCACGTGACTAATATATATATATATATATATGGCATATAGGTAGGCCCAAGCCCATCGCCGAGAGTGAGTTTGTGGGGGAAAAGTGAAATACAAACAAACTAATCCGGGCCGCGATATCATTGAACTTGACGTAATGAGCAAAAGACTTAAAAAGAGAAACCCTTAGTGGGATTCAGCAGGGTGAATATGACAACGAAACACACACGCAAGCTCGCAATCACACAAATACAAAACAAAAGAAAAAGATAATAAAACAGAAGTTTACAGTGTCGAAAAAAAGGGTGAAGTCAGATTGGCCGACAGGAAGTCCACATCAGGCCCTCCAGACGCGATGGGATCCTCGGATGGAGTTCCTAACGCAATTACGGGAGATCGCCGTAGCAACACCCCCGGTAACACCCAAAGCACGAGGCGCTGTCTGGTTTCCAACGACATAACTGCCGATAGAACCAACCACAAATGCATGGAACTCCCCGACTTTGCCAGAGGCAAGAGCAATGGAGCGACATAACTTCTCATACTCAGTGCTTCCGACCGGCCGCTTCATCTATAGCGGCCTCGCCGTTGCCGAATGGGCACACCACATCGAGTACTACGACCCGATTCGTCCCAATTTCCTCGAGAATCAAATCGGACCCCAGCATCTCAGCTGTTCTAGCGTCGACATCTCACATAGAAAACCTGGTTGGGGGTAGGTGAGCCAAGATCTCTTTCACAGAATCGTGCCGCTCCTTGATGATATTCATAACTGGACGACAGTGATTCAGCACATGAGAAAGAGTCTCGTTTGCGTAACCACACTTACTACAAGTCATCCGTGGTTCCGCATATGATGTAAACCGTCTACGAACGGATCGCAGCGGCAGAAGATTTAATTGAGCTTTCAAAACCCACGAAATCTGATACTGAGCGAGAAAGAAAAACGTGAATAGAAAGTGGTTAGAGCAACCCAACGTAATGACAGGAAACTGTCTTCCAATGGTCCCAAAGCTCGCCCCACCGCCCCCGCCGCCACCGTCGATTATCAGGGCCTGCATCGCCTTCTGAACTCAATAAAACCTCGCCACAACTTTGCCCGGCCGAGCACGAGCAACCGAACGGACCATAGAGTCGGGAGAATTCAAAGTTTTGAACGCATGGGTGACCCGAAATATGTCCGCTCCAAGGGCAATATTCGGGACGCCCAGACCCCAGACCGCAGCCGTGGAATGAAAAAAACGGCTGACAGGTCCGGACTGGTAACCGAAAAACGGTTCCGACAACGGATGCTCGCGTTCAGCCGCTCCAGGTCGCGCCGACGAAAATACCAAATCCGTAATTGGAAGAAGTGCTTAGGTAGACAAACCTCTTCAGCGTCAACAGTTATGAAACGGAGTGAGCTCCGAAGCAAAGAGCTTTCAAATGTAAATTGAGGTTTGGTTTAAAAAGTCACTCCATCCGACGATCCGGTATCCCATATTCTTGCCAAGGTACCTCCAGAAGTCATCCCGGCCTAGAACTGCAACCTCACCGCCACAGAGATGGAAAGGATCACTGTCCGCAACCATCGTGACTCCCGACAGAACCAAGACAAGAACACGACATTTGGACATGCTCGAAGACGCCTTCGGAAGGAACAAAGCAACAAAGGAAAGGAAGGAACAAATGAAATTACAATAATGTCAAAACAACAAAGGTTGGATGATCTATTCGAGATAAGCCTTTTCAAGTGTTCCTGGTATTACTCCATCACTAAATCACACAAATTCACTCCATATTCCAAGTTTGGTGATGTCACTATTTATTACCCACACGAATGGGCCGTTTCGGCATTAATAGGAAAACGCCGATTTGCGTAAACTATTCACTATGGTATGCGATATCACTTGCTTAAAAGGATGTCACTCGCATACCGAGGAACCGTGAATTTTACCGGTTCAAAAAATTTAAAACTGACTGTATTCAGTTATGTTTTCATCAGGTTATTAATTCCTAACGCAGATATTTTCTGTTAGCAAGTTAAAAAATTAAATAGGGTCAATGGAATAAAGGAATTTCCCATGTGTCATACTCGTTCAACTTGTCTCACTAACTCCACGTGTCCCACTTGCTCCACGTGTCCTACTTGTTCCAAGGTTGTGATAATTGTCGAATAGGTCAACTACACCTGATTAAATTGTTGTCAAGTATTGTAATTACTATTTATAAAAAATATTTCCTAATTCAAAGATTTAAATGGCGATACATGCATTAAGATATACCGATACCGCTTTTACCACCGATATCAAAAATCTGCTATGTCATAATGCCGGTATTCCGATAATATTTAGTTATCATCTGGATCGGGACAAGTTGGACACGCCATTTTTGACACAGCCCAGAAAATACACTTAGACGCGCCTACCTAATGTACAGCAAAAGTAATTTTCCATTCGTCTGGCGGTCACAAACTTATTCGTTATCCATTGACTATTTATTTTAAACACGTCATGCATTTCATCAGTAATGCTTTTCTGTGAATACACTTCCTCCAGTGACTTTAACATATACCTCATAAAATCCTACGACAAGAGGTATACGTTTATATTATTTTTAAATGTTTCTCACCATATGTAAACTTAGTTAAAGTATACAAAACGTTTTAACAATTTTTATAAACAGATGAGTAAGTTATCAATACATATTTTATTGAGAGAAAATATGAGCATATCTATATACATCCAGTGGAGGGATACAAGGGTTCGCGTTATCCTGTTTTTGGAATGTGGTGATAATCAGCGTACCTTTTACTTGTTTTGGGCGTTGGACTACCCAGCAAATGGGTCAAATGCATCCGCAGTTGACAACTATATCCAAAGAAAATATATATTGAATTTATGTGAAGCATGTCATGTTAATGCGCATTCGTAGTGAGATACATATGCATTCTCTGAAATGAGACTTTAGTTAGTGGGTTCGATACAAAAGCGAACACGTTATTAGAATTTTGAATCTAACCACTGGATAAATCCCATGACTAATATACAGAATCAAAACAATATCATATCGCTTTAGTATTGGAAGTGAAATTAAAAGAAAGCTCGTCTATGACTCTGAGAAATGTCTGCGTTTTCACGGGAAGGGCCGAGACATCATAGGTTTGTGACTCTCATGTCTATCGTTCCAACTTTTGAATCTCTCGGAAGAGTGGAAGTCACTGGAAAAGAAAAAATAGGTTCGTTACTTAGCAGTACACTTAGATCAGCCTTATTAAAAATACAGCGACACGCACGACACGCAAAAAATAGGGACTGATTGGAAACGGTCAAACAAACGCCATAGGGAAGAATGGAGATGTAGATAACTAAATATAGTTAAAACTGTACAGAACGAACTTGTTGCGCTTTGAATTGTTATGTTGTTCCTTCCCAATGTTGATGAGTTGCCAGATTGTCCTGTTTGAGATTGATCTAGACATGAAGTCAAAGCATAATGTAGTTTTAATAGTATATATTTAACTTCCACTAATAGTGTAGGTAAGGGGAAAAGGATAACAAGAATGCGTTCTATCCGCGGATGTTCAAGTTCTTCTCGAATAAATTTTATAGCAAAAACGTTCCTTTGAGCGAGCAACATTTTATTCACCGCCAATACTATGTATGCAGTATAGAATGCATTACACATCTTTGAAAGCGAAGTAATTATCTCAATCATATTTATTCCTGCTACAGAATCTTTTTATTATTGTAAGCACCGAATAAAAGGATAGGGAGTTAAGCCAACTCATAATTAGTTTAGTGTTACATGAATTATTTATTTCATTCAAAATATTTTTTTTTAAAAAGAGCATTATGAACCATTTATATATATATCCCTTCATCTCACCCTCTTTCTTAAGTAAGCTTCGATTCCTCAAGAATGGTATTTTACTCCAAATGGCTCCGACCCATTTCTCGCGAACGTCCTTTCGCCTCACGCAGAAAAGAAGAAATATAAAAAGACCCTGTGGAAATATGAAATATTTTAAACACTTCGGATGCAATAATACTGTATAATGTAACGAAAATAAGGTGACATCTCGCTGTACAGCTATTTTTTTAATCTGACCTTTGAATTACGATAAGAGACAAAGGAAGTGTATAAGAGCAAATGCATTAATAAAATAAATTTTCAAATATATTAACATTAACAAGATCGCGCATCGGTACCGTTATCACCTTAGTTTAAGCACGGTAATTAGCAGAAGAGATCGTCGGCAAGCACGTGGAATAAAATGTACTCATACGTCCCAAAAAGTCTTCCTATTATTTAAAATGAAACATCAAAATCATGGGTGAAATAATCGGTGCTACAGCACTCAAAAATATTCGAATTAATATCGAACGTAATGGCCTTCTAGATGCTTCATCCATCTTTATGAGCTGATTTAATTTGTGAAGGGTCGGTACATTACTTGGAGCTATAAGAGATTTTTATTCACAACGACAACAATTTAGCTAAACTGTATAATACGTAAATTAAAGAATTATTATCAACATATAGTTCATAATCAAACTTGAAATGCATTGAATATTGAAAATAGCGATCCAAACACCAGATTCACAGTCACGTCATCCGTTATTGTTAATGGTATTGCAAAAGCCCATGTCACTCCAAGTAGAACCGTTATCATGACAATACGGAATATATGGTCTCTAAGCTGAGTTTTTGTCACTTTTTGTCCAAGCTGGAAAAAGATTGAAATTACAACAGAAATGAACTCGTTAGACGGAATGGAATTTTGTATGATGTCATCGAGAAATATTCGTAACAAAAAGTGAACGCTATAAAAAGCAGATTGCAAGTTATGGCTATCACAGCTATCTGACATTACAGTCTCTTCGGAGACAATAAAAGGAAACAACACATGGAAGCTATAAAAACCAGTTTTAAAAACAATGCTATACTTACATCAGGTGGGGAACGAGTAATCACTCTCAAAACAGCAAAAAATCCAATCACATTGATACAGAAAATAATTCCAATTGGAAGTAGAAATCCAAAGTATAGTGAATACGAATGAAGCCAGCAGAGTCGATCGCTTACGTAATGTGAGACAAAGCAAAGAGAATCTGAAAAAAAAATTTGAACATTTCATTTTAAAAAGGATTCAAAATCTAAGATGGCGAGATTATTATGGAGAGAAAGTCATAGTCATAGCCAATGTGCTTGAAACCAAAGAAAATAGAAAACTCGTCGTTGTAAATTAAAAATTCTTCTGATAGCGTGAAAAGTAAACAATTGACGTATAAAATTGACTTTTGTGAAATGAATGTTACTATTCTCAGTGATTAAAGGATCATTCAGCATACTAACACCAATGTTTCAGATTAGCATATTCGACTATAAAAGCGATTGTTGCATCCAATGGAACGGAAGAGCTTATTTTGAATATAAAAAATTTGCTTTGATTTTGTGAGCTGCCGGTAACAGAATGCGAGAAGTGATTAGCATAGAAATTGTGTAATTCTGTATCTACCATACCAGTTGTAGGTGCTATGCTCCAATCAGTGTGTTGCATGGAGTCCCCAGTTGTATACGCAACAATGAGTGTGACGCCGGTAATGAACAACGACATCGAATATACAAAAACCGAGCATTTCAAGAGATATTTACTTCCGATTTCGGTGAATACAACAATGAGTTTTCTAGAATAAAAAAATAAAATAAGATTTTTAACTATTTCTCATGTGTTTTGTGATCATTGCTTAATACTTAACACGACGTTGCTTCGAGAAATATACATTGATCGCAGATTGAAAGCACGTCAGGACATAATCGTTGATAATCTGAACTTAAAATTGGGCATTGGTACCAAGAATAGTAAAATATTCCATTTTAAGATTTACAAATCAGTATTGTTGCGAATAGGGAGTGATCCAGGTCATTTGAAACATGTTTTAGGGAGATAATAACTTCTGTGCAACGAATCCTAGATTAGTGAAACTTTGGGTACAATCATACTCAAACAGAAGTTCGAGTATTAACTAATTTTTTATTTCTGCAGAAGTTGAGAAAATTTATAAGTTTTTTTTTTCGGGGTCACCCGAAATATTCACAATATTTACAATGAACTGATATTTAAATCATAACAATGTGTAAACTCTCACTTGTACATGGTGAAAAACTCGATCAACATCCATCCCCACGCGCTCAGGAATGAGAACTGGAGAATAAATCCAACAGCAATGCATGCTGAATAAGCTCTGGGTCGTTCCACTCCAGCAAGAAATGTAATGTATCCGATAAGCAAACAAATACTTAGATGCATGTGGATTTGATTCAATTTGTTTGTCCGGAGAGATCTGTTTAAATAAAAGTTTGAATATGTATAGAATCATTCGGCGCATTGGTCTTGTACAGTAGGTATTTCGTTAGACGGGGACTGGTTATTTGCCTTTTTTATGTTGTTTATTTATCTGTATGTCCTATCGTTATGTGAATAAATATGCGCGGTCAGAGACATAGTTTCGACTGATATAATCACGAATAGGACAGATTTCAGTATTTTTGACTCCGAGCACCTCTGCCCACGTGACCCCGTTTTAACATGCCACCTGTTTATTGATGGTTGCCGTCTAGGTTAGGCGCGTTTTCGGTATTCTGTTTTTTTCTGTTCTAATCAGTGCATTTCTGCTGGGAAATGAAGGTATTTTCATGCGCCACCAGACTATGAAATCTTTTGTGTGGCTTTGCACAACATGAAATCTTCTACGAGTTTTACAGACTTGGCGAGTACACGTTTTCTTGACACCGCACAGCTGCAATACTTTGCAGTGGCAGGTAGCAAATCGCATGATCAAACATTATACAGGGTCTAAGTAACTGGCAATGTAGGATCTGGACAATTTCAGTTCTTCCAAAGCACAGTAGCTCGCTCATTGATATGATACTCAAAAACAAATCTAGTCGTGTTTTATAAAATTTTGAATGAAACTAGATTTAAGATTTGTTAGAGATAAGATAATGTGATACCTAGTTTAATTAAAATGAAAATCAGAATATTTATGACATTTCATGTTCTAAGATGAACAGTTATTGGATTAAGTTACTTACTTGAAAGAAAGGTAAATAATCGAAAAAAACAGAAGTCCAAGTATTGAACAAATACATCCAATAATTCCAACAACATCTAATAATAAATTCTCTTGCACGTGTTGAGTTTGCTATAAAAAGACAATAATTTGATAATTCTATTCAAACACCAAATTTGCATGATAATTTTTATATGGGTTAACTGTTCATACAGACCACGCATGACAGATATTTCCAATAAACGCTTCTATTGCAATAATATAGGCTTTATGTTAGAACTTTGTGACAGTGAAGTTGCACTGAGCCCACTCTCACAGAGATAGGTAATTGAGAAATAGTCTCTGGATTGGATCTGACGATTAGAGATTTCACGGCTTTTATCGGTGGTAATTTCATCAAAACTAACCCGACTAAAATACTATAACCGTTCACGTGTGAGTGGAAGATTGACAAAGCATCGGGAACCAATATGTGGATTAGTTCCAGAAATCCAGTTAAGATACTTACAACCAAAACAGCAAAGTTAGTTGTGTGATTGCAATAACATGTCGTTGAAGTATTTGATTGATCAACATTAGTGACACAGCCGTCAAATTTCCAGGTTGAATCTGGGATACTGAAATATCCACATCTTTCCAGATGAATCGTACATCCTCTGACCTGTATCAGATGACCAACATTTTATAAAGAAAGTATCCGAAAATACTAAATGTCGATGTTACAGCCAATATCTGTTAGGCGTATTTCTATGCTTAGCTGAGATAATTTAAAAATAGAATTTTCTATGCCGCTAACAAAACATACTATCAAACAACGCATAAGAGGTGATCGCTAGCCTCCCTCGAAACAAGGCTATACACAATTATCTGCTGACTTCCAGTTTAGCATTACCAATCCTATAATTTAAACATCACCCGGGTGATACTAGGTTAAAGCGCTCGTTTATTCTGCTACGATATTTTTCGATAATTATTTGCAATATATATATACATACCTTCTCAATTTTCACACTCACAACTGCTCGAGTAAAAGAATGGTGGATAGGATCTTTCAAATTTTGCAATGTGGTGTTTGATATTTGAACACTTACTACCTAAAAAGATTGAATTTGAAGAATATTTTTTCATATCAAGTTACCTATTATACAAACTAAAAACGAACAAAAAGAATTTTTGTTATCGCGTGGGAATGCCAAGAGGAATTGCTCCATGACTGAGTGGGAATGATATGCTCTCCAAATCTTTGTATGGAACACCTTGTGTCATGATGATATCATTTATATGTAATCGTGTATGGACCATGACCATTTCTGTTAGTTCCATGACGTCATAATTATTCAAGCGAATATAACGAATATCTCCGCTAGTCCGTGAGTTGACGAAGCTTCTTTCCTAGTTATTCTTGGAATAGTTTCATATAAATAGAACAAGTTGTCGTTTGTCCACAACAACCCATCAATTCAACTGGACAATTTGATGACGAGAGATACCTAATTAAATAAAATACTCTAAAATACACCGTAACATTCCAACTAACTCACTTGACCAATTTGAACCGCAGAATCGTTTGGACTGGGAAACAAAACTCCTGTTTCGTGCAGGTAAAACAAGGCATTTGTCATATTTGAGATTGTTAAATCCGGGATTGCTGATGCAGGAATCGTTGATTGGACAGAGGGTGGCGTGGGTGATCCAGATCCTGGCAGAACTTCAGTAATTGATCCGGAAAATTCAATAGCTCCCGGTAATGCCCGTGGCATATACGGGATTTTTTGTGCCTGTAAAAATTTGTTTGTGGAAAGTTTTGAGAAATCACTTTACACAATTTTGCTTAAAAAGTTAGTATTAGTGATATTGAATTATGGATCTATGAAGGAGTAGTTTCTTTTTTCATTTATTCTAAATAACGCATTCTAAATAAATCTCATTTAACTAAAATGTCTCATACGTTGTCCATGTGGAAAAAGAAACATATATCGATTAATAGTATATTCCAATATTAGCTGGACTATAGACAAAGCGATACTTTTCCTACATTTTCGTATGGTTTAACTACCTTGAACACGGACGACGGGCTCATCATTGTCAACTTATCCTGCGTTAAAATCATATTTGATGAAAACATTTCTAAAGCTTCAATATACTGAAGTTTTTCTTGATCTGTTAGAACTGTGTCGTTACTACTTTTTAAGGCCGTATTCAAGTTGTCTGTCGTCCATACGAGATAGTTCATGGTTCTTTCCGTGATCTAAAAGTAATCAAATAATATCAATTGAAACAATATATTTTATGTACAAGATAGAAAAAGTTATTTTTCATTCTCATTTCTCGAAAGAAAATCGGGCCCACATTATTGTATACCAACTAGCAAATTGTTTATTAACCCTTATGGAGATTCCAAAGTCTGTATACTTATGAAAGTGGAAGTCACGATCTTGGCTATAGCACTGAAATAGAATCCCTAGTAATTATTATATGAAACAATACACGATCCGGATGTAGGGCATCACGTTGCACTTTCATCATTATGCCAATCACGCATTCCCATAAAACGCCAACTCGTCATCAAGCAAGAAATGAACAAAATGCGTATTCTAAACACATGAACCAGGTAGGGGTAGTATATTGAAAGTGTATCATCGAAACTCTAACCATGTTTTTATAAAAATTGCAATGTATTTATCATTTCCTATTAGTCAGTCATATACTGAGATTCATATTTTAGTGATCATATTTTGCCAAAATTAATATTAACATTCAGATATGACCGATATTACCGGTTTTCAGAAACTGTCATTGACTTTTCAAAAGTGCAGTGCTAGACGCATTTTGAAAACGTCCGTCGATTTCTTAAATTCACAACCGCTAATCATAACATTTATAAACTGTTCACCAGTTGTTTAAAATGTCTTTTTTATTCACGGTCTGAAGGTTGGAGCGAGCGTCAATATTTTTTTTTATTTCCATATCTTCTGAATATTAGCTTTCATAACTATCGATGCAAAATTGAAATTTCCGAAAATTTCCGTTGCAAATATATACTACTACTTCGTTTTGATTTTAGTGTCTATATAACTGAGCATTACCTTCTTGTTGTTTATAATGTAATCAGCATGTCTTCAATTAGAATTAATATTCGTATAAGTTTTTTAGTTGATTACCTGTATGTTACCCTGTTTTATTTGGTTATTCATCTCGTGGATTGCTTGAACAACATCTTTCACGTCCTTTGTAGTTTTCGACGAGAAATCAGTTGAAAGAACACTCACCACCGCCATGTTGGATTCAACATTTTCTGTTGTTGCAGTTTGGTTTTTAATCTGCACGCATTTAACATAAATTTACTTTATTTGTTATAATTTCTCGTTTAATATTAAACTATTTTAAAGCATGTTTTATCTGATTTGATCGGATAATTATTGATTTTAATTAATTGATGATAATTATTGATTTGCAAAATGTCAGTGAAAATTAGTCTCACTTTATCTTTTATTGCCAAGATTATGAATATATTTCTATATATAACCCATTTACAAAATAATTCAAAATTTATTAAAAATTTTTAAATTATGATCTGAAGTAAGTTGAAATAAGCTAAGAACCATATCATGGCATTCATTTAAAATTTCACCGAACTTTATATCAATACAAATAATTAATTGATTGTTGGATAGGCCTGATTAAACCTGACAACAAATTTGTTGAACCTGATTTAACAAACTAGAAGGACTTTCTGCACACGATACTTCGCGAAGAGTTGCATATTCGTAATAGGCAGTGGCAGTTCCATCAATGTTGGTTCTTGTATGACACTCTACTGTGGCAGTGTAACCGATAGCTGGAATATAATACAAGTTTAGTTTCATTTCGTATGAAATCCATAGCAGTCCAAACCTACATATCCAAGACTTTCAGACGCAAACTGAAAGAGCTATATAACGATAATAATGCCTATTTGACTTACTTTGAGTGTAACGCTAATTTACAGCAACAACAAAAACCACACGATGAGCAAACTTTCTGAGCCGCATCTATATATTTTTAGGCTTTGCCGCTATCTTTCTGCATTCAGTATTAGTACAACAATATGGCTTTTTATAACATCAGCCAATACTAGTCTTTATTTCATCAGAAACATGTACCAATCTTTAGTGAACTATGCATCGATGTTCAAGTAAGTGAAATTGAAAACGAATATTTTATTCTGTACCTGAATTTTTGCAAGTTTCTTTAGATGACGCTAACGTGTTTGCGCCTGCTTGTCCGAACGAGTAAAACACGGATCCATCGAAATATAAAACAGCAGATTGTAATTTTGCTTCATTACAAACGGCTGGTGCTGAAATACAAGAAAAATTGGATAGGAATTAACGAGATAGATCAAATATATATAAGGATACGAAGGCCAAAGCGAATTAGCATCAACACTTTTACAGTTTTTATGACGTTATCGCACACAAAACCGAATCCCAAAAAGAATGCAGGAGTTTTTAAAAAGAATAAGAGTAATAGTCTTTTACCGAAAAATACAATACAAAACAACCACTAAAATTTCCAAAGCAATTGATCCTTGTTAAGACGAAGCGATTTTTCATAATAATAAAAAATACTAACAAAGAAAAAAAAAACTGAATGAAAAAAAAAGATCCATATTGACACTTCGTTTCCAATAAGACGTTTACCTAATATCTTTACCTAATGAAAATATGAACGCAATGATGAATAACGAGTATAATTAGAAGAAAAATTCAGGGGGAGAGGAGTGTATATACCGGTATATTTATATAGAACACAGGAGGAGCATACTCACCAACTTCGGGAAAATCTACTTTCACGTTTGGCAGATTTCTTCTCCAGTAGTTGGATGTCAAGCTTTGATTATGAAAAGATTTAATTTCCTCTGGCGAGAACGCGGTTTCTTTTTCTGCAAAGATGTCAAACCAAGCTATGACAGACCCGTTTGTGAACTTTTGGACTTTGACTAACATCCCTTCGATTCCTGCTTCGCCATAACTCTCGGATATATTTCGTGCAAATTCGTCTGACTTTCTTATAAATCTAAAGAACTTGTATTTCCCAGTTGCTCTGTGAATGGCATTTCGAACCGCTGAGTCATGGAAGTAACAGCTATGAATATAATATAAGCTGTTAGCAAGGATATAATAAGAAAACGACAAAATTGCGGGATGATATTGTATATGAAAATTTGAAGTAGGCCCTACATTTTTTATTATAAAACACGATAAAAGGTTATATGCATGCTAAAATACGCAAACGGGAACAAAAGAAAATTACGTAAATATAATAGAGTACAATAAGTGAATTCAAACTGCAATTTTTTTTTCAAATTGAACTAATTCTTTAGTCATTATTGTCCATTATTTTTCACGAGAGATTTAAATTAAAACAAATAAAACAATTTTATGCGTTTTTTCACGCATTTCAACTAGGCTCAATAAAAGCATTACTAATATTAATATTTTACAACTCACGAAAACAGCCATTAGATTCGCCATTGCTAACGGCTTGAGCTAATCCTTCAGCACAGATGCAGGTGTATGATCCAAGAGTGTTGAAGCAAACCTGTCCTGTCATAAAACATTGCTTTCTCAATGCGCATTCATTAATGTCGATGCACGTGGGATTTGTTCCGTTGGGATTCTTCTCATATCCTCCTGGACAACCTGTTACAAAAAGCAGAGATTGAGATTGACAAATTTATTTTTGATCAGAAATGTAAATAAGTAATTTCAAGTGAAGAAGTGTAGAGAGATTCAGAAGATAACAATTTAATCTTCAAAAAACGCGAAGTAAGTCACAAAATTAATGTAAATATATATACTGCTATAATTCCATGCTTTGTAAATATGGCAGCATATTTAGTAAAATTGCTACAGGATGAACCAGAATCATTTCACGAGGGAATACTGGAACGACCGCCGACGCACCAGGAGTTACAAATAACCAGTCTCATGTTTTTGGAGTAGGTTGATAACGTGATATACATATACAGCCAAAAATATACATATAGCGCCAACTAAATATCTCTATACAGCCAATGTCATATCCATATACAGTCAATTAATATACAAATACCACCATTTTGGTGATGTACATGCACCGCCGATGCCATATGTATATACAGCCAAGTAGATTACTCAATAAACACATAAAGACAGCAAGTCAGACACTTGTAGTAAATCCACTTCGAGCAATGGCATAAAATTGTTACCGCAAGAAATGGAAGCTTACTACAAAATAAAGTACATTGCTAAAAAATGTTAGGTTTAAATGTAATAATAGTTAATATTTTTGACCCATGTGTAGAATAAATTTCAAGGAAAAATTGGACAAATTCCGCATAAAAAAACGTTTTGAACTTTCATTAAAATTTCTAGGTTTGCACTGTAAAAAGATTTTTTTTAGAACACACTACTACTAAGCCTAATTGATTCATTATCTAAATTATCATTCATTTTTGCTTTCAACTTTGTATTCAATGTTTGATATCTTAGAAACAACGATAGCATTACGAAACATTTTAGAAATGGGTCGTAGAACCTTGCTTGATAAAAATTGGACTTTAATTTTCGATTTTCAAAACTTTTAATATGAACGCCCTTATGAACTTTCATAAAATTCAGGTATTTAGAAACTAAATAGTAGTTATTAGCCTAGAATATCTTCCGCCCCGTAATGTAACAGCTACTTACCCAGTGTTGTCGAAGATAGTGTTGAAGTAGGAACTGCAAAAAAAAATGACAAATGGTGATCTGATCTCAGTTGAGTTTGATTTATCGCGCGATATATATTAAGTGAATATAGTATCGAACTGTTATAACAGCTTGAGACCTTAAATCGGTGTAAGTGACGTTGTAAGAGTGATTTAAACCTGTGTTTCTCAAATTCCATAATAAGAATTTTTGGTGCTCCCGAAGTATGCGAACCAAGATGCGGACATCGGATCGTAACATGGGTAACAGGTTAGGGTTAGGCGATAATTTTTTTCCAATTTTCCTTAATTTAGTCCTATTATCAGTTCGAAGACTAGCCAAGAGCCTCCCGTAGTATTTATACCTAAAATTATGGCCTAACCCCTAACCTAGTACACATATTACGTTCCGATGTCCGCCATCTTGGTTCGCATACTTCGGGAGCCCCGAATTTTTTGGAATGGGCTTACGTTTTCACTGCAAATAGAGTAGGTTCGGTCCCAAGATAAAGGGTATGACTGAAATTGATCATAGGTTAGGAAATTCAACCTGATAAGCTAATGAATAGACACAACGAATGACCGGGCCACGACAAAATGAAGGTTGAGATTGATAACCACCAATTTAAACGATATATCAGTATATCATGCCGCGATCAATTCCAATTATACATGGCAAATTATACATTGAGATAATCGAATTCCAAGACAAATTTTCCACGTTGGGAAAACAGTTAGGGATACACGGATCCCAAATTTGGGTAAAATGTAGATTTGAACTTAAAGTAAAAACTCAAAGATTAAGAAAATTAAGGTAGACTCCATTTGTATAAATGTAAATAAAAATCAAACGATTTATATATTTTTAGGTAAAAATTACTGCATTTAATTAAAAAGCATGCTATGCGATCTTTGCTGCTAACCTGTTGTCGTTGTCGAAGCAGGAGTAGTGGTTGCCAATGTTGTCGTCGGAGTAGTGGTTGCCAATGTTGTCGTTGGAGTAGTGGTTGCCAATGTTGTCGTCGGAGTAGTGGTTGCCAATGTTGTCGTTGGAGTAGTGGTTGCCAATGTTGTCGTCGGAGTAGTGGTTGCCAATGTTGTCGTCGGAGTAGTGGTTGCAAATGTTGTCGTCGGAGTAGTGGTTGCCAATGTTGTCGTCGGAGTAGTGGTTGCCAATGTTGTCGTCGGAGTAGTGGTTGCCAATGTTGTCGTTGGAGTAGTGGTTGCCAATGTTGTCGTCCGAGTGGTGGTTGCCAATGTTGTCGTCCAAACTAAAATGTGTTTTAAAAATATTCTGAACAACCAGCTTTCTCTACTCTTTTACTTGTGGAAAACATATTGTTGTAATAAATTCGTCAGAGCATAATTTCAGAGTCAGATTTGGCGATTCGTGTTTTATTATAATAAAAAGTTAATAAACACCGACACTGTAGACTGATGTCGGCATGTATTGGTACAGCTTGAGCCTTAAACTGTTTTAAGTGGCGAGAATAATTAAAACCAGTGTTAGTCAATGTGGTCGATCGTGAGGAGTTTTTGAAATGGGCCTGGAGTTTTTATTGGGACCCCAATAGGTCTAAAAAATGTACGCCTGGAGTTGATCAAAGCTTTTGAATTCAATTTTACAAGCTGATAAACAGATACAATAGTTGAGAAACACTGCTTTACCGCAAACTATATATTAGTATATCATGCCACAATCATTCTGCAATGATGGACTAAGTACATCTTAAAAAATATGGCATAGCTTGGATAATTAATTTAAGTGGACAAATGCGGATACTTGTATGGCATGTTCTATCGCACACAAATGTCGGCACGTATTAGTCCAAAATTAGGGGTTTGCAATTTTTTTGGTGGCGTGGAAATCTGATGAAACATTTCGGAGGCTCGAAGAACCTTTGCAAAATTTAATTTTCTTTTTCCCTAATTGTATAAATATAGATATACACAAAAGCAAACCTAATATTGTACTGACAAACGAAAACAATTTTAAACGTCTAGCAAGTTTAATAATAGAAGCAAACCTGGTAGACATTTGATTATGTTCAAACAAAATATATACATATATAGACGGATTTGAATGGAAACGGAACTGGTGGAAGACTTTATGGTGTCGCGAAACAACGGTTGAAAACCACTGGTCTAAGAGAATGCTTCCTCGGCAATTTTGAAGAAAGTGTAAGATGTTTTTGAAAGAAAAATGAAAATTAATTATAAATTAACTTACTCGTTGTTGAGGATGATGGCGTACCACTATTCCCTCCTGTAACTAAATGATTTATATGTTATCAGCTAGCTTACAGATCAATCCAGAAAGACAGTTCAATTTCAAGTTGATTGAGTTTTTCGTATTTTTATGTTCGGGGACCAAAACTTTATTCTAGTTTCCAGAAAATGATATTCTTGCCATACATTGAAGATGAACAGATATTTAATGAATCACTGTCATTATCTACTCTACTGCGTGTGCTTCAGTCAAGGGTCAATTTGAGGTGAGACATTTCTTTCGGACACAAACACTACACAAATTAAGTTTTGATAGTCTAATACTCACACGTAGTTGAATTGAAATTAAGTTTTGCATACTTACACGCCGGAAAATTGTATGTCTGTCCCAAATTCCATATCGAGAGAAACCAAATAGCGAGTACTATCGCTATTTTCATGTCCATAGAAATGGTTGTATACTTTTAGGTACAAGTTATTTTCTATTGTAACAGAAAAATGTAAAATGACATAGTTTAGTTGTTGAATGATACCTGATCTATTGAGATACTTAACCCAAAATTGCTATCGCTGCCAATAGAAAATAATTCTTCAGATCAATTTTGCAGCAAATGTATACAATTTTCTATAATCGTGTCTATATCTAACATAGAAACATAGTATAAAAGTATTCTCCAGATTCTACAGGAAAAGAAAGGAAATGGGGCTTTCTATCGTTTTTTATTTACTGTCCGCACAAGTAGTTTTATGCCCTTACACGTTAAAATCTATTTATACAAAAAACGAATTGGCAAGTCCGTTTGCTGACTAAATTTTAAAGCATTTCAAACTTTTATCGCCGCCAACTGGAAACGATCCTTCGAGGCAACTTTGCTACAAATGTGAACAATGTAATTGTGCTTTTCTGCTATCTCTGGAGTACGAACAATTACGAGAAAAACGATGGAGAATGCGTGAGACCACCGCAGCCTTCTTTTCAGATGGTGTTCTAATTTGTTGGTTAAATTCAAAGTGATGGCCAGTTGCTTAGCGCGATTGCTAATCGCCGGATATCAATGTTTTCATCCCAAATTGGGTCAGATAGTACGACGTGGACATGAATTAATATTGATGCACGATGGAAAAATTCTAGTGCATGCATCCGGAATAGCTGCCACGAATATAAACGCTATCTATTAGTAGAGTCTCAACTGGAAAAATCAATGTGAGAGTAGGCCTATACTAGATCCGTAACAAATCATGTTATGAACATATGACCGGCAAATTCATATTTCTCATACACGATGGGTGTTTCTCATTGACTTTCACTCCAGAAAAACTTTTCTTATACTTTATGCTTATTTTGACAACGTTTTTGCGAGTTAGCGATTTTGATTCAAAATATTTAACCGACTTCCGTCACCTAGTCTGCTACAGCTTTGTCGGGCCTATTATTATTATTAACTAAAATTCCACAAAATGGCAGTTGGGTTATCAAATGTATACCTAAATTTTGAAACATAACTTAGAGCCAAAAAGTGTCTAACAGGCTGCACAAATTCAGTGGTTACATGTTCATGTCGATGCCCGGGTGAACATTCATTTTGTGATGTACAATAGAATATAGGGCGCGGTACGATTAGATGAAGCTAACGTCCCGTACGGTCCAAAATATAACCCGAAAGGGTTCACGACTTCTACTATTTCTAGACGCCAAGTTATAATATCTTATGAAGATTTGTATGCAACCACTTTTATAAAAAATAACCATTGCCGTCATAATATTTCAAAGTCAAGCATAAAAAAAGCACTTTCTCTGATGTAAGATATAGATGCCTTCCGCTATCTGCTAGTTCCATTCAACTATACTCAATCCACAACACGTTCTGACCACTCATAATTGAGTCGCGATATTAGTCAAGCCGAGTCATACGTACCAGAAGGAATGCATCCGCTTGTTCTTGGAATTTTATATTTTCCTTTTTTTCACTTTCATTCTTGACGAGGTATTGCAAGAGTAATGTAACAAAGCGTTAGGAATTACAAATAATAAATAATAAAATAAATTGGCTTCTCATATAACTTCTGGTTATGAAACCATAGGGCATTGTTTTTCGTTCGTCATTATCACAAAACATTTTGATGCGATTTTTAGCCATATGCGCATCAAAGATCTGTCTGAAATCATCATTGATGTACTTTCCATTTAATACGCAGGAAGCATTCTTTTTAATTCTGATGTTATGAGTGATAAACTCGTTAAATATTAAACGTGGTTCCAGATTCCAGTCCCGAAATATTTAAATCCAACGGATTCGATAACAGAACTCGGCTTTGACCATCGAAATTTCATATTTCTATTAAACACTTATTTGCTTGAAGGCCGATGATATCTCTCGATTCAAATGCGCTCCTTTATTGGACAAGAAATGTAGATTTTGTAAAAAAAAATATTACCTCATTTTATTTATGGGCACTAGGCTGTGTTCTAGAAAATTCTTTCGCAATTTCTATTTTCCTTAGTCACGCCAGTCTTGCGATACCATTTAATTTTATAAGCGCAGTAGATTCATATTCGGTTAAATGAAATGATTTCTCATGCAAAATTTAATACTAATAATTAATCGCATGTATTATGCTTATGTTTTATAATACAGAAGTCGGAAATATATTCAATTGAGCCAACTTGGCTGTCTTTTCAGACCAATAATCTGGCATCTTTGATTATTCGCTATTTGATTAAGATCTTAAAATAGCTTATAGTCTAACTTAAATAGTAAACATCACTGACGATTTACAATCTACATCAGCGATATGTCGAACTCCAAAACTGACATGGCTGCTTTCAACTACATCGAAAAGCCGAAGCCGAAACCTCGTCTAAGCAGAAGCCTACCAGACCCTGGCCTCTCCCCAATAGGTCCTGTTTCATATCAACAAGAGGGACCTAATTTTCAACAAAATCTACAGGAAGCAATCCAGAGACAAATAGAAAGCCAACTACCATCTCTAATCACCAAGTACCTTGCTGAGAACTTCAATACAGCAAATCTTACTTCGGAATACATACCCCTAAGCCCAGGCCTTAAAGAATGTATGGAAGACCAAATCCAATCTTTAAGGGAAATAAAAGAGGACATTGCCTTAATCAAGGAAACCCAGAATTTTCAGTCGGATATGTTCGATAAATTATCCGCAAAGCAGAAATTTATGGAAGGAAAAATTATAAACTGTGACAAAAGAATAAGAGAATTAGAAGATTTAGTTTATGATCTTGAGGAAGATCTGTATTATGCCACAGAAAAAATGGAGGAACAGGAAAGGCGCTCTCGACTCGACAATCTAGAGTTTCATGGTCTTGCCCCAACTGTGAATGAGGACACAGATAAACTAATAATGGAAATAGGAAAACTGATTCATGTAGATATCAAACCATCTGATATCTCAGTTACACATCGCAGTCCCACTCACAACTCTAATATCCACAAGCCAATAATCGCCAAGTTCACTAACAGAAAAATCCGAAGCAAAATTCTTAAAAATCGCAACCTCATAAGAACTGCTTCCAACAAATCACCTTTAACCAATTTATCAAAAGCTTTTATTGTGGAAAACTTAACAGAAAAAAATAAAAACCTGTTCTATCAAGCTAAGATCCTGAAAAAACGATGTGGGTACGCCTTTCTTTGGACTTCCAATGGGCGAGTGTTGGTGAAAAAAAACAAGGATACCAATACCCTGTCGATATCAGATGAAGAAGATCTGCAAAAAATCAGATAAGTTGATTAATTGTAATTCCCACTGTAATTTTCTATCTATTGTTATTTTAAATCTAACTCTATTGTTGCTATTAGGCCCCACTTTCAATGTAAGCCCTTTATTAACAAGTTTCTGTGTATACTTTTTATTCACTTATTCAATACGATTCAATGTCTACTGTCCATGATGTACCTATATATTGTTCCAAAATGAACTGGGAATCTAACAATTTACATCATCATGTTAGTACAACTCACTGTCGATACCTCGAGTTAAACGAGATCAGTGAGGTCTCATCTAGATTTCTACCATCTGACCTTATTTTGGTACACTTCAACATCAGATCTCTACCAAAATACATTGACCGCTTAGTCGAATTGACATCAAATTTTCACTATCTCCCACATATTATTGCGCTAAGCGAGACAAGAATTAAAGCTGGGGGAATGGCCGAAAATGTCGACATCCCAGGATATAACTTTATGTATGTTCCTACTCCTACCCAAGCTGGTGGGTAGGTTTTTATCTTAAAAGCAACTTAGATTACCAGGTGATCCAAGAATTTGATTTAGGATTTCCAAATTGTGAGGACTTGTGGGTAGAGATCAAACTTAACTCGAACAACCAGAGATTTGTAGTTGGTGTCATTTACAAACACCCCAAATGTAATATACCCTCATTTTCTGGAGCAATGGCTCTTGTTTTCGAGAAGCTGGCAATGGCGAAAAAGAGGTTTGTAATATTAGGTGACTTCAACATCAACCTACTTGACACCCATGACAATCCCACTGCTAAATATTTGGACATGCTTATGTCCTATTTCGTATTGCCTGTGATTACAAAACCAACTAGAGTCACATCATCCACCCACACCCTCATAGATCATATCTATACAAATAACATAGGTAATGTCTCTTCATCATTTATTTTGCTTAGTGATATTACTGACCATTTTCCTGTAATTTGTACAATCTCTGGTTTAAATGTTTCTTCCAAGACAAAAACTCGGATGAAGCGAGATTTGACAAAATTTTGTAGCGACTCTTTCAGATCTGAGGTCGAGTCGATGTGTAACAACTACATTGATACCGCTCTCTGTAAAGAAATTTTAATTTATCTTTCGATTCTTTCCTTGGCCAATTGAAATGGTTAATCAACAAACATGCCCCACTTCGACTTGCATCACGTCGAGAAAATAAATTGTACTTGAAGCCTTGGATAACTAGGGGGATTCGCAAGTCCATCAAACACAAAAATCAAATGTTCAAAAAAAAATTTTTAAAAGGAAATTTACTTGAGCGTCTTTACTTTAAAAAATATAAAAATATCTTAAATCATTTGCAGAGAAAATCGAAACAATTGTATTACCATAAAATCCTCAAAAACAACCGAGGTGATGTAAAACACACTTGGAAGACTATAAATGAAATTATCAAAATCAAGTCCAGAGATGATACCCCCATCTCAGAATTGAAACTCGATAATGGTACTACAGTCAGAGACCCTGTCATGGTGGCTAGCGAATTCAATAAATTTTTCTCAACAGTGGGGAAGAAGCTTGCAGATAAACTACCTCATAGCTCAAAATCATTCGCGTACTTCTTGGGTGCTCCTCTGCAAAGCTCTTTCTTTCTTGAAGTAACTACTCCTGCAGAGGTCCTCCAAATGATATTGAATCTAAAAAAAGGAAAAGCAATTGGGCCTGATGGTATTCCATCACACTTCCTAAAAATAGTTGCTGATATCCTATCACCAGTGCTCAGTCATTTTTTCAATTTTTCATTCAAATTGGGTATTTTCCCTTCCTCTTTAAAAGTTGCTAGAGTGAAACCAATTTTCAAAAGTGGTAAGCATAATGATCCTTCAAATTACCGACCAATCTCCATCCTCTCCTCTATTGCCATTATCTTAGAAAAACTATTACATAGCAGATTGATCAATTTTTGTACAAAATTCAACCTGATCAATAAACGTCAATTTGGATTTCAAACCAATAATTCCACCAGTCATGCTATTTTAGATCTAACATCATTTATTTATGATAAAATTGACAAAGGCGAATTTGTCTGCTGTATTTTTCTCGATTTAAAAAAAGCCTTTGACACTGTCAACCATAGTATTCTTTCCCAAAAACTGAGACACTATGGCTTTCGAGGTGCTACAGGCAAACTATTAAGCAATTACCTTTCGGGTCGATTCCAATATGTGGAGGTGGATTCTCAGCAGTCTCCGATGTTGCCCATTCATCACGGAATTCCTCAAGGTAGTGTGTTAGGTCCTCTTGGTTTCTTAATTTACATAAATGATCTGTCTAACTGCTCCAATTTCTTGAGCAAATTGTTTGCTGATGATGCTTGCCTGCTCTACAGTGCAAAAGATCCGAGTATTCTCCAAGACAAGGTGAACACTGAAATGAATAAAGTATATGATTGGATGACTTCCAATAAACTTACTGTGAATATACAAAAATCCAAAGTCATGTTATTCGGCCACAAATCTCTAGCCAGACATGCGAACATCTCAATCAAAATTACAGGTATCCCTCTTGAAATTGTTCACTCTTATAAATACCTTGGCCTCACTATTGACAATCAATTAAAATGGAACTTTCATACCAATGAATTGCATAAGAAATTGTCAAGATCAGTCGGGATCCTAGGGAAGTTAAGGCATTATGTAAACGACTCGACTCTGCGAACAGTATATTTGGCTCTTTTTCAATGTCATATCCAATATGCCTTAGCTGCATGGGGTTCCGCTACCAAAACAAACTTGAATAAATTAGAGATTTTACAAAATAGGGCTGTTAGAATTCTCTGTAGGGCATCTATTCGTTCTAACCTGAATATCCTATACCACAAGACCAGGGTTCTAAAATTGTCCGACATCTATAAACTAGAGATTTCTAAACTTATGCACCAATTTAACAACAACCAATTGCCCCCAGCTTTTGCTGACTATTTCGTCATGCTTAGTAACGTGCATGAGCATAATACACGCTCATCGACTAAATCCAATTTATTTGTCCCTCGATTTTCATCAAGCAAATGCCAAAACTCCTTGAAATACAGGGGAGTTGTAATTTGGAATAGCATAGGTCAAAGCCTTCGTCATTCATCTTATGACACCTTTAAATTTAAATACAAAAAATTCATGCTTTCCCTTTACCATTCTGCTGCCTTTTCATCCGATTAAAGTGGATCCAGAACTTTCTTCGCCATTGCCAGCTCCACTGTCGACTTGATCCAGTGATCCAGAGTACCTGAAATATATAATTTTGGAATTTATCGTGTAATCAAACAAATATTTTTACCTATGTATGTTACATGGACCCAGCCTTACAAAAAGTATTTACTGTATTTTTAATTTCACCCAATATATCAAAGGGCGAGCTTTTGCTAAAATATTGACCTAAATCAAAAATTTTAGGTATCATTCTCTTATTAAATGACAATTGTCCTGCTATATGCATTTACAATCAGTCATGCTTCCAATGCAAAGCTCATATTGTCTTTTCTCACCATGACCTCTTTATTACCTATTTACTACTATGAATTGTTTCTTTTTACATATTTGATTCATCTCTGATTGACCCACTGTGTGAATGAGAGGATATCATGTAAGAAAAACCATGCATAGTTCATGCACTGTGATGTCATGTAATATAGTCAGTTATATATTGGTAATATTTGAGCCTGATCTAAGTTACTAAGATCTTGGTCTCTGGCACCCTTAATAACATCATTTTAATGTTAAACCATATTCGATTGTAAATTTTTTTTTTTTTTATCTTTGTACATTTGGCATCGTTATGTCATAAACTGACTGACATTAGATTTTTAACAATCTACTACCTTTGCTTTTTCCATGTTCTGTATGAAGTGGTTAGTTCCACATGAAATTTAATCCTACCTTGATCTTGTAGAATACCATTTATTCATTGATCATGTGCCTTCCAGTTACACACTGAAGTTCAATTTTCTTACCATAAAAGGTTAAATTATTTATGACTACCGGTACTACAGTTGCATGCATACCATACTACTGGTAGGCTTCCTGTTCGTGAAACTTCATTTTTACCATTGATACCTAAACAACTGTAGCCCTGCACCATACAATGTTCTACATACGACCACAGTCACTTCACAATGGTACCATTGTTACTTTGCAGCTATCGTCATGGCTACTTAGATAATTGGTGCACGGAGTCGTTTCTTGTTTTGTTGTTGTTGAAACGCGAGATTACTGGGCATACCTGGTTGGAATGCCTTGACGTATTTATATTTATTTTCAAATTAACGTATATATGATACTGTATATACACAGTTCGACTTTTTTTTTGTTATTATTTCCTTGTTAGACTTGCTTATGGGTGCCGCTGCTCGATAACCAAATTTGGTTTCTCGCGGCTCCCCTCACCCTGAAATGCCTTTTATTTATATTGCAATTTGTATATCAAGTGTGCATTTAGTATGGTGAGAAAATAAACTACTGATTACTGATTACATCTTTGAGTTCTCCCGCGGGTCGCTCTCTTGTTTTTATTTTATTTTTAGTAATAGCACCTATCTCATAAGGCTCTGGAATTTTGTTGTTTGTAAGTTCTATTTTTCATGTTCGTTTTTATTCATTTAGTTAATATTTGGAGTGATAATAATATAAATAGATCAAATTGTGGGTAACTGACGAAATGAACTGTCCCACTAATGATCATTAATAACTACAATAATGTAAAAACAACAAAGGTTAGGTGATCTATTTGAGATTAGCCTTGTCAAGTGTTTCTGGTGTTTCTCGCACATTGAATCACACAAATTCCTTCTATATTCCGAGTTGGGTGATCGAATAAATGATTTTTTCATAAATTTGAAAAACTCCACCCGTTCAACAAAATATGCCAATTTTGATCAATTCAACAGTTTTATCGTAGTAATATATCGTCGAGTTAATAACCGAATTGAGAAAGTCATTTTTAGCGGTTTTGAGTTTTAAATCAAATAGTTATTTGTGTAATACTTCGCACTTGTATGTTAACTATGATTTTATCCCAAGAATTCCGAAACCCATAAAAATGGAGATTTTGTAAGACGTGCATATTTTCGCAATTGTTTCGTCATAGTGAATTGTCATTGTTTACCGCACGACTATCGTGAGGTCACAAAGGCAAAATCCCATCGCCAAAGTATTTTCAGCATTAGAGTTTTTGCATCCCAGATTCTAGCTTAGCGCTTATGAATTTGAATTTACACTACAGCATAGGAAAATGTGCACTTGTGATATTCACTATCTGAGTCCAATTCAAATTGGTTAGCTTTCAATTAATGGTGCGTTGCTATTTTATTCTTTATATTTAATATACAGGGTGTCTCAAAAGTAAGTATAGTATACACTTTTAATTTTGATTTGCCTTCAAGGTACTCATCATATAACGTTTATTTCTTCAGTAAACATAGTATGAATAAGTTTTAAAATTTAGGTATTGTTTGCATTTTTCAACAATCCACAAAATGACAAGAAGATTGACTCAAGAAATAAGGTGCAAAATTGCTGTTTGGCAAGAAGCATGTAAATCAGTATCGCAAACTCAGCGCCTCTTTAACAGAGAATTTGGAATCAATTCGACTCTGAATGTTTTCCCTAGAGCGTCCACTCCTTGGTATTCCTGATTTTTGTGCATCAATTACAGATGCATTTTCCATAAATTTACGATGAATTACATAAATTGTTTGTCATGTAGGAGCCGAATTAATTTCAAATTGCCAAACAGCAATTTCGCATCTCATTTCTTGGGTTAATCTCCTTGCAATTCTGGGGGTAGTTAAAAATGCAAACAATACCTAAATTTTACTACTTATCCATACTATGTTTCCTGAATAAATGAACGCTCTATGATGAGTACTTGAAGAGCAAATCAAAATTAAAAGTGTATACTTACATTTGAGACACCCTGTATATATGAAAAGTCACATTTTCGGTGGGTGTGCAGAGCTTGTTATATTGATGAAATATATATTTTAAACATAAAAAACAATGTTATTGACACAGATAAACTTTTTTTGGGATTAGACATTGTAGATACTGGGATTTGTATACGTATTTCGAATGTTTCGTTTTCAAAACTGGTGCATAATAGTCAAGTTGCAAAATTGCGTATGTACCCAAGTCATGGGCACATTTCTGCGTAAGTCACAGTGCATCATTATGACGTCACATGCGTGCGTCATACAAATTAATTTAAATCCGGCTACGACTAAAAAATTGAACCATGGGAGATTAATGACTCTAAATGGCATAGCAATATCATTAGGAAGTTTTTTACGTTTTTCTCAAAACTGCTTGAAAGGCCTTACACAATTTGGTTATTATCGTGACGATATATATTCAATTTTAGATCTGAGATCGCAATCCAAAGTAGCACCCAATTCTTTAGACGAGTGCAAACATATTGTTTAAAGAAATACGATTTGAATAAATTTCAGTTACAGTTAAACTCTTTGAAGTCAACTGTTCCAGAAAATATGATGTCTCGAAAATGTTGTGTCCCACGTGCCCCCCCTTGTCCCATATGTCCTACTTGTCTAACTTTCTCTACGTCTCCACTTTCTGCACGTCGCCTACTCGTTACAAGGTTGTGAAAATTGGCATATAGGTGAATTGCACCTGATTGAATCAAAATATTGTAATAACTACTTATAAAAATATTTCCTAATTCAAGAAATTGAATGGCGATACATGCATTAGGTTATACCGGTACCGCTTCTATCTTCGTTAACGATTCGGTATCGAAATGCCGGTATTACGATAATATTCAATTATCATCTGGATCGGGACACGACATTTTTGAGACACCCCAGAAAATACACTTAGACGCGCCTACCTAATGTAGAGCAAGAGTGATTTACCAATTGTCCGGCCGCCACAAACTTATTCGTTATTCATTGCCCGTTTATTTTAAACACGACATGCATTTCATATGTGTAAGAGACGCATGTAAAACTTAAAGCCAGTAATGGTTTCCTGTGAATACATTTCCTCCAGCAACTTTAACATATGTATACTTCATAAAGTCTTACTACAAAAAGTATGGGCCTTGTTTGAATTAGACGTATATTATTTTCAGATAGGTTTTTCTTCATATAAGTAAACGTAGTTAAGTATACGAAACGTTTTGACAATTTTTTTATATAGAAAATGAGTAAGTTAAACATATTTTATTGAGAGAGGAGAGTTTGGTATATCTATTTACATACATATCCAATGGTGGGGATGCATGGGTTCGCGTTATCCTGTTTTTGGAATGTGGTGATAATCGGCGTAGCCTTTCTTGTTTTGGGCGTTGGACAACCCCAGCAAATGGGTCAAGTGCATCCGCAGTTGAAAACTATATTCAAAGGTTATATATTGAATTTATGTAAAGCATGTCATGTTAATGCGCCATTCGTAGTGAGATACATATAAATTCTCTGAAATGAGACTTTTGTTAGTGGGTTCGATACAAAAGAGAACACGTTATTAGAATTTTGAATCCAACCACTGGATAAATCTCATGCTTAATAAACAGAACTGAAACAATATCAAATTGTTTAGTATTGGAAGAAAAATTAGAAGAAATCTCGTCCATGGCTCTGAGAAATGTCTGCGTTTTCACGTGAAGGGCAGAGACATCATAGGTTTGTGACTCTCATGTCTATCGTTCCAACTTTTGAATCTCTCGGAAAAGTGGAAGTCACTGGAAAAAGAAAAAATATGTTCGTTACTTAGCAGTACACTTAGACCAGCCTCATTAAAATTCAGCGACACGCATAAAATAGGGACAAATGGGAACAGGCAAAACAAACGCCATAAGGAAGTATGGAAATGTACATAACTATATATATATATATAGCTAAAACTAAACAGAACGAACTTGTTGCGCTTTGAAATGTTATGTTACTCCTTCCCAATGTTGATGAGTTGCCAGTGTTTCCTGTTTGAGATTGATCTAAGCCTGAAATTAGAAATATTATTTAATTTTACTAGTATTCAACTTCCACTAATTTCGTTGATAACAGGAAAGAGATTTCAAGAATTCCGTTCTATCCGCGAATGTTCACATTTTTCCAGAATAAATTTTGTAGCAAAAACGTTCCTTAGAGCGAGCAACATTTTATTCATCGCGAATACTATGTCGTATAGGATGCATTACACATCTTTGAAAACGCAGAAATTATCTTGGTACGTAATTATCTCAGTTTATTCCTGCTACAGCATTCTTCTATTGTAAGCATCCGGATCCACTAGCTAGCACAAAAGCATAGAACAAGGCTTCCCAACGTGGTCCAAGTGGACACCCAGGGGTACAAAGCGAGTTAAAGCGCTAATTATATCAAATGAGTACATTTCATTAAAGTTTTTGCACATTCTTATAAACGAAAAAACACCTGATGGAATATAGTGCTTTTGAAGTCCTGGCATAAGAGAAATAATGAAGAGTTAGTCTCGCGTAACCCCAAATCACAATTATCTTAGTGTTACATGAATTAGTGATTTCATTATGTATATATATATCACTTCATCTCACCCTCTTTCTTTAGCAAGCCTCGATTCTTCAAGAATGGTATTCTATTCCGAATGGCCCGACCCATTTCTCGCGAACGTCCTTTCGCCTCACGCAAAAAAGAAGAAATATAAAGAGGCCCTGTGGTTAAAATGGATTTTTTAAGCACTTCGAATACAATAAAACTGTATATTGTAACGAAAATATGCGGCATCTCACTGTGAAGTTATTTTGTGATTTGACCTTTGAACTTCGAAAAGAAATAAAGTGACTGTATAGAACCGAATTGCTTGAGTAAATATAATAAAATGAGAGAGCAATGCATGAACAAGAAGACCGCGCATCGGTACCGATATTGTCTTAGTTGAACACCGAAATTAGCCGAAGAGATCGTCGGGCAAGCAAGCAGAATAAAATTACTCATACGTCTAAAAATGTTCCTATTAATTAAAATGAATCAACAAAATCATGTGTGAAATAATAGGTGCTACAGCACTCAGAGAAAAATCGAAATAATATAAAAAGTAATGAATGGCCTTCTAGCTGCTTCATTCATCTTTTTAGCTGAAAATCTGTGATCGATCGGTACATTACTTGAGACTACAAGCCATATATTCACAACAACAAAATTTACAAAAACTGTATACTGCGTAAATCAAAGAATAAATATCAATATATAGTTTATAATCAAACCTGAAATGCATTGAATATTGAAAATAGCGATCCAAACACCAGATTCACAGTCTTATCATCCGTTATTGTTAATGGTATTGCGAAAGCCCATGTCACTCCAAGCAGAACCGTTACCATGGCTATACGGAATATGTGGTCTTTCAGCTGAGTTTTTGTGACTTTTTGTCCAAGCTGGAAAAAGAGGAAAGGGTAAAAACCAAAACAGATGCACGAGTAGAATTTTGAAATAGAATTTTGTATTGCAGATTGCAAGTCATGACTCTCGCAGCTATTTGACATTATAGCCCTATCTACTGACTTTCTTTTCGGAGACAATAAGGAGAAAATACAACACATGGATGCTCTCAACCAGGTTATAAAAACAATGCTATACTTACATCAGGCGGGGAACGAGTAATCACTCTCAAAACAGCAAAAAATCCAATCACATTGATACAGAAAATAATTCCAATTGGAAGTAGAAATCCAAAGTATAGTGAATATGAATGAAGCCAGCAGAGTCGATCGCTTACGTAATGTGAGACAAAGCAAAGAGAATCTGAAAAAAGTTTGGACATTTCATTTTAAAAAGGGTTGGAAATTCAAGATGGCGAGATTTTTATGAAAGTCAAATAATCGGCGCTTAAAACCAAAGAAAATAGAAAACTCAAAGAAAAACTAGAAGTTGCAAATTACGAAGTATTATCCCAAAGTGAAAATAAAATTGACATTTGTGAAAAGAGTGTTACTATTTTAAGTCAGGGGTCACCGAACTTTTTTGATCGCGCGCCAGGAATGACTCAAACTGTGTTGAAACCGGCCGGGCAAATATTTTTGTCAATGCAATAAATTCCCAAAAGTTGGGAAGCCATTTAGTTTATTCAACAATATAAATTCTACAATTCTGAAGTCTTAAATATTAAATTCTATATCGCAGTTACCAAAATTAATGTGACTTGTACTATTAGCGCAAAATGCACGTTCGAAGTTCATTTTAGCACGAGAAACGTACACAGCAACAGTTTCGCCGAAAGCACTCGTCACGAGTGTACGAGTGCATTCTTCGTAGAAAACGTTGCCTACCGTAGAGAATTTTAGCCTATTTCGTCACGGCTATTTCTAGACAATTTTTGATTACTGCAGTTAACCTACAACACCTACGAAGGCAAAACGATGATTGACATATTTGATTCATACTTAAATTTCGGAATCACGACCAAAAACTAACGAATAACATTCAAAATCGCGAAAACGAGGTATGTTTGAAACCACGACTGAAAATCTGTCCAAGTGACAAAAGCGTCTGAGCGAATGCGAAAGGGTCTATTGTTTCGTCACTATTTGCATCTTGCTGATTGGCCAATGTTACGGAATGAACAAGGAAGACGATACTCGAGAAAACATCCCTTGCAAAATGAATCGCCATTTTTTCGTGGTATTGCGGGCCAGATGAAGGGACGCCACGAGCCGGATCTTGTCCGCGTACGTAGTTTGGTGACCCCTGTTCTATGTGATTCAAGAGTTTTTCTGCATACTAACACAAATGTATTTCGTAAACGTCAAATATTCGTCAGATTTGGGAATGGAAGAGCTTATTTCAATATGAAAAATTTCCTTTGATGCGAGAAGTGATTATTAATAGTAAATGTTAATTATCATACCAGTTGTAGGTGCTATGCTCCAATTAGTGTGTTGCACGGAGTCTCCAGTTGTATACGCAACAATAAGTGTGACGCCGGTAATGAACAACGACATCGAATATACAAAAACCGAGCATTTGAAGAGGTATTTACTTTCGATTTCGGTGAATACAACTATCAGTTTTCTAGTAATAAAACAATTGGAATAAGATATTTCACTATTTCTTATGTGTTTTGTGATCATCGCTTAATACTTAACACGAAGGGGCTTTGAGAAGTATACTCGTACATTGATCGCAGATTGAAAGCACGTCAGGACATAATCGTTGATAATTTGAACTTAAGATTGGGCATTGGTACCATGAATGGTAAAAAAAACCATTTTAGGTTATCCAAATCAGTATTGTTGTGAATACAGGGTGATCAAAAGAAACATAGTCCAGGTCATTTGAAACATGTTTTAGAGAACACACAACTTCTGTGCAAAGCGTCCTAGATCACTGAAACTTTGAGTACAACCACACTTCACCATACAGAAGTTTGGGTCCTTATTATCACATTTTTTTTATTTTCGTAGACGTACTTGAGAAATTTTATAAGTTCCGGTATTAAGGGGTCCGTCCCCCTGTTGTTTGAAACCCAAATTTCACGATACTTACAGTTGAACTAACATTTATACCAAAAAGATATAACAATGTGTAAATTCTCACTTGTACATGGTGAAAAACTCGATCAACATCCATCCCCACGCGCTCAGGAATGAGAACTGTAGAATAAATCCAACAGCAATGCATGCTGAATAAGCTCTGGGTCGTTCCACTCCAGCAAGAAACGTAATGTATCCAATAAGCAAACAAATACTTAGATGCATGTGAATTTGATTCAATTTGTTTGTCCGGAGAGATCTGTTTAAATAAAATTTGAATGTGTACAGAATTAGTCGCACTGGTCTTTTATAGTAGTTATTTCGTTAGGCCGGGGACTGCTTATTTGCTTTCTTTATGTTGTTTATTTATCTGTATGTCCTATCATTGTGTAAATGAATATGCGCCGTCATTATTGATATATTTACCAATGGGACAGATTTGAGTGCTTTTGACTCCGAGCACCTCTGCCCACGTGACCCCGTTTCAGCTTACCGTCTGCTAATCTTGACATGCTGCCGTCGAGGTTGGATGCGTTTTTGTTATTCTGTATTTTATCTGTTCTAATCAGTGCATTTCTGCTGGTAAATGAAGTTCTTTATGTGCGTCATCAAACAATGAAACATATTGTGCTTTGCAGGACACGGAATCTTCTGAGAGTTTTACGAGCTCGGCGTGAACACGTATTCTTGAAACTGCACAGCTGCACTATGCTGACGTGACGGGTAGGAAATCTCATTGCCAAAGATTATCACCATACACAAGATCTAAGTAACTGGATAGGCAATGTAGAATCGCAACGATACCAGTCCTTCCCAAGCACAGTGGTTCAATAAATATGATACTCAGAAACAAACCTAGCCGTCTTTTTTTAAAATTTTGAATCATACTAGATTTAAGATTAGATAATGTGATACTTAGTTTAAAACAATCAGAACTTTTATGACATTTCATGATCTAAGATGAATAGTTATCCAAAAAAGTTACTTACTTGAAAGAAAAGTAAATAATCATAAGAAGAAGAAGTCCAAGTATTGAACAAATACATCCAATAGTTCCAACAACATCTAATACTAAACTCTCTTGCACGTGCTGAGTTTGCTATAAAGGCAATAATTTATCAATTCTATTCAAACACCAAATCTTTTTGCATAATAATTCTTATAAAGCTTAACAATTTATTGGGACCAAGCGAGACAGATATTTCCAATATATTGCTCCTCGTTTTGAAAAGGACAAATTTAGATAGATGAGTGTTTAAAACGATTCTATTGCAATAATATATGCTTCGTACTAGATCAGGGGCGGGCACGGTTTTTAAACAAAGGGCCAAACATTTTGCCCACTCAGACTGGCGGGTCATGAAAGTGTGACGTAAAAAATTACATTTTATGAACAAAATTTACAGTATTACAAAGCAAAGATGAAACAATTTTCGCCATAACTAAATTTATCAGCAATCTCAAGAAAATCTTTGAGCTATTTTTAGCTAAAATATCAAAATTTGATTTTAGTTTGGTTGTGACAGCATCAGGCGGACCAGATTGAATTACCCAACAGGCCGGATTTGGTCCGCGGGTCATACTTTGGCCATGTCTGTACTAGATTTTTGTCAAACTGAAATTGCACTGAGCATATTCTCACAGAGATGGGTAATTTATAAAAAGTTTATAGAATGTTGTGGAATTTCTTATTGGAGATGGTCTATTTGTAGCCGTTGGCTATATATATATCGAATCGGGCGAATAGAGATTTCACTGGTTCTATCGGTAGTAATTTCATCAAAACTAAACCATAATTACGTGTGAGTAAAAGACTGACAAAGACTCGGAAATCAATGCTTGCAGTCCTTTCTGAGATCTAGTTAAGATACTTACAACCAAAACAGCAAAGTTAGTTGTGTGATTGCAATAACATGTTGTCGAAGTATTTGATTGATCAACATTAGTGACACAACCGTCAAATTTCCAAGTTGAATCTGGAATACTGAAATATCCACATCTTTCCAGATTAATCGTACATCCACTGACCTGTATCAGATGACCAATATTTAGAATATGAAGGAAGTATTCGAAAATAATAAAATGTCGATGTTACTCTGACATTATCTGTTAGGCGCATTTCCATACTTAGTTCAAATCATTTAAAAATAAAATTTCCTATGCCGCAAACAGAACATACTACCAAACAACTTATTTAGGAGGCATTTCCTCTTTCTAAGCTAGGCTATACATAATTATCTGCTGACTTCCAGTTTAGCATTACCACCCCTACTCAAATACCACCCAGGTGATACTATGCTACCGCGCTCACTTATTCTATAGCGATATTTCTTGATAATTATTTACCGGAAGCAGTGTATACACATACCTTCTCAATTTGCACACTCACAACTGCTCGGGTAAAAGAATGTTGGATAGGATCTTTCAAATTTTGCAATGTGGTGTTTGATATTTGAACACTTACTACCTGAAAAGATTGAATTTGAAGAATATTTTTCCATATCAAGTTATCAATTATACAAACTAAAAACGAACAAAAAGAAATTTTGTTATCACATATGGGAATGTCAAGAGGATTTGCTTCATGACTGAGTGGAAATGATATGCTCTTCAAATCTTTGTATGGAACACCTTGTATATTGATGATATCAGTTAAGTAAGTCATCCTGTATAGAGCATGACCATTTCTGTTAGTTCCATGACGTCATAATTGCTCAAGCGAATATATCAAATATCTCCGCTAGTCCGTGAGTTGACAAAGATTCTTTCCTAGTTGTTCTTGGAATATTTTCATATAAATAGAACAAGTTGTCGTTTATCCACAGCAACGTGTCTACTCTTCCGGACAATTTCATGACGAGAGATGCCTAATTAAGCGAAATATTCTAAAATACACCGTAACATTCCAACCAACTCACTTGACCAACTTGCACCGCAGAATCATTCGGACTGGGAAACAAAACTCCTGTTTCGTGCAGGTAAAACAAGGCATTTGTCATATTTGAGATTGTTAAAGCCGGGATTGCTGATGCAGGAATTGTTGATTGGACAGAGGGTGGCGTGAGTGATCCAGATCCTGGCAGAACTTCAGTAATTGATCCGGAAAATTCAATAGCTCCTGGTGATGCCCCTGGCATATACGGTATCTTTTGTGCCTGTAAATATTTGTTTGTGGAAAGTTTCGAGAAACCACTTAAGACAATTTTCGTTAAAAAGTTAGTATTAGTGATATTGAATTATGGGTGTATGAAGGAGTAGTTCCTTTACACTAATTCCAAATAGCGCATCTCGTTTAACTAACTTGTCTCTTCATAAATATGAACACGTTGTCCATGTGGAAACACGAAAGCATAATTATATAGATTAATATTAGATCCAATATCAGCTGAACTATTCACAGAGAGATACCTTTTCTATACACATTTTCTGATGATTCACCTACCTTAAACACGGACGACGGGCTCGTCATTGTCATCTTATCTTGCGTTAGAATCATATTTGATGAAAATACTTCCAAAGCTTCAATATACTGAAGTTTTTCTTGATCTGTGAGAACTGTGTCGTTACTACTTTTTAAGGCTTTATTTAAGTTGTCTGTCGTCCACACGAGATAGTTCATGGTTCTTTCCGTGATCTAAAAGGAATCAAACAATCTAAATTAAAACAACAAATGATGATGAAACAACAAGATAACAAACGTTATCTGCGGTTCTCAATGCTCGCAATGAAAATAGGGACACATTATTGTTCACCGACTAGCAAATTGTTCATTAATCCTCATGAAAATTCTAAAATCTCTACTCATGGCAGTGGAAGTTACGATATTGCTTAGCACTGAAATAGGATCCTGGTAATTATTATATGAAACAATACACGATCCGGATGTAAGGCATCACGTTGCGCTTACATCATTATTACGCTTTCACATAAAACGCCAACTCGTCATCAAAGAAATCAACAAAATGCGTATTCTAAAAACAGGATGAAGGGAGGGAGGGGTAGTATATTGAAAGCGTATCATAGAAACTCTAACCATGATTTTATAAAACTTGCAATGCATTTATCATTTCCTGTAAGTCAGTCAGTCATATACTGAGATTCATATTTTAGTGATTATATATTGTCAAAATTAATACTAATATTTAGAAATGACCGATATTACCGATTTTCATAAACTGGCATACCTTTTTAAAAGTGTGGTGCTAGACCAGGGGTGGTCACGGTTTTTGGATCGGAAGCCAAAAATTTTGCCAACCTAGACTGGCTGCTCATGTAAGTATGACGTAAAGAGTCGCATTTTATGAACAATGTTTACAGTGTTACAAAAGCAACAGTGGAATACAATAAATCTCGTGTCAAAACAAAATTTAACCGCAAGCTTCCCAAATTCCTTGAGCTATTTTTAACTAAAACATCGAAATTTGGTTTTAGTTTGGTTGTGGCAGCATCCAGCGGGCCAGATTGAATCACCTAACGGGTCGGATTTGGCGTCTGTCGATTTCATAAATTGACAACCTCTAGTAATAACATTTATAAACTGGTAAATGTTCACCAGTTTTTTTAAATTTCTTTATTATTCACATGTTAAAGGTTTGAGCAAGCGTGAAAATTATTTTCATTTCCAAACCTTTTGAATATTAGATTTTACAAGTATCAATGCAAAATTAAGATTCCTGAAAATTTCCGTTGCAAATATATATATACACTGATGTATATGCACTTTTCTAAACTTGTCGAAACCCATGACTCATTTGTCAAGTATGCGTTACAAAAAGCAATTGTAGCGCTCGTGTAAGATCCCCATCAAATGTCCATTAATTGCTAGTTTTTCGTTAGTTTACGTTATTGGATACGAAATGGACCTATGGATCGTTTGTTGTTGTTAATCGTGTTAATATATTTTTTTTATTATTTTTCTTCTTTGTGTTGGTAAAAAATCGCTTTTCAGGTTGGGTTTTTTTTTTCGCTAGAAGGCTATTACTTTTATGTATTTCAAATATTTTAAATGATTTGTTTTTGTTTGCGATGACGTCATCAAAATTAAAAATTGCGCACCTTATGGCGGTTACGTTCACGGCCACGTTCTGATAGTCAGGCGAAGTCGTGGAGATTGCGGTACCGGTAGTCTACTGTGACAGATTACATACCCGTACTACTTCATTTTGACTTTCGTGTCCATATATTTGGGGATTACTCTCTTGTAATTTATAATGTAATAAGCAGGTCTTTGATTGGAAACAATATTCGGATATGTTTTACAGTTGATCACCTGTATGTTATCCTGTTTTATTTGGTTATTCATCTCGTGGATTGCTTGAACAACATCTTTCACGTCCTTTGTAGTTTTTGAAGAGAAATCACTTGAAAGAACATTCGCCACCGCCATGTTGGATTCAACATTTTCTGTTGTTGCGGTATGGTTTTTGATCTGCAAGCATTTAACATAAATTTATCTTGTTTGGTATAATTTTTCTTTTAATATTCAACTATTTTAATGCACGTATTATGTAATTGGGTCGGATAATTTTTGAGATTCACAAATATCAGTCAAACTTGGTTTCACATTATTGTCAAGTTGATAAATATATTTCTTTATATAACACATATTACAAAATAATTTGAAATTTGTTAAAATTTTAAAGGAGCTGAAGTAAGTTGAAATAAGCCAAGTTTCATATCATGGTATTTTGGGTGTCACTGCTCGAGAACCAGCGTTGGTTCCCTGCGACTTCCCTTCCCCAGTAAAACTATGCAATTTTCATTTCGTATTTTCTATGTTCTATTGTTTTTACATTTAATGGCTGGAAAAAATAAACTTGACCTGACATTCATTTAAAATTTCACCAATTTATATATAAAATACAAAAAATTGAATTGGTTGTTGGATAGGCCTGGTATTAAACTTGACCAAAAAGCTGTTGAACCTGGTCTAACAAACTAGCTGGACTTTCTTCACACGATACTTCGCGAAGAGTTGCATATTCGTAATAGGCAGTGACGGTTCCATCAATGTTGGTTCTTGTATGACACTCTACTGTGGCAGTGAAACCGATAGCTGGAATATATTGCAAGTTTATTCTCATTTGGTATGAAATCCATTGCAGTTCAGGCCTACATAGCCAAGACACACAGACACAAACTGAAAGGGATATATAACATGGACGATAACCATGGCCTATCTTGCTTTGTGTGTTACGCCACCTTACATAAAATGAGACAGTTTTGAGACAAAAAATGACAAATAAAATGAGATAGTTTTGGTATGTTAGATTTAGATGGCTCTGCTTCAATCTTAATAAATAACCATATGTTTAGCGTCTATTTGAATAGGCGTCATATATTTCAAATGTGTATAATTATAGGAATCCACATTTGTAACACCAAGTGCAAACTTTCTGAGCTGCAGCTACATATTTTTAGGATTCGCCGCCATCTTTCCTGCTTACAGTAGCAGTACAACAATATGGCTAATACCGGTATATCGTGAACTATGCACCGATGTTTACATAAGTGAAATAAAAAAATATAATTTACTATGTACCTGAATTTTTGCAAGTTTCTTTAGATGACGCTAACGAGTTTGCGCCTGTTTGTCCAAACGAGTAAAACACGGATCCATGGAAATATAAAACAGCAGATTGTAATTTTGCTTCATTACAAACGGCTGGTGCTGAAATACAAGAAAAATTGGGTAAGAATTAACGAAAAAGATCAAATATACGGACACGAAAGTCAAGATGAAGTAGCATCAAGTCTTTTACAGTACTAGTAGTCTGACCACGAGCTCATTGAAATATAGTCACGGAACAACGGCATACGATCTCACACAAAACCGAATCCCATATACCGCATAGCCATTGAGCATACTGAAATTTTTGAAAGAAATAAAAGAATAGCCTAGCAAAATAAATACAGTATTTAAATACTGAAAATTTCAAAGCAATTAGTCCAGCAGTTAATGAGAAGCAATTTTTTCATAACAGCAGGAAAACGAAAAAAGATTCTAACAAGGAAAGGAACAACGACATAACAGCAAAAAATATTTTTCCTCAAGAACATTGTGAAGTATAACAACCAGATAGCGATTGGAGACCGCCGACTTATCAGATCTGCAGTTTCGATTACTTCACTCTGACTCAATAGCGACTTCGCGTGCCCCATCACTAATTGATTAATAACTCGCTAATTATACGACATAATTCACCCAAAATTAATAGACTTCAGATTCCGAGATATGCTGAATGCACATGCAAAATTTAGAGCAGATTCAACCTCGCTTTCATGAGATATCGCGTGCATCTAACAGACAGAAAAACAGACAAATACCTATCAACATACTTACAAGATCGATAAGTAATAATAACGAGTAGAATTAAAAAATTAAGAGGAGAGGAGTGTAACCTAAGATGAAGTGCAAAAGAAATATATTTTACCCTAAACATATATAAAGACCACAAGAGCGAGCATACTCACCAACTTCGGGAAAATCTACTTTCACGTTTGGCAGATTTCTTCCCCAATAGTTGGACGTCAAGCTTTGATTATGCAAAGATCTGATATCTTCAGGCGAAAACGCGGTTTCTTTATTTGCAAAGATGTCAAACCAGGCTATGACAGACCCGTTTGTGAACTTTGTGACTTTGACTAACATCCCTTCGATTCCTGATTCGCCATAACTCTCGGATATATTTCGTGCAAATTCGTCTGACTTTCTCATAAATTCTAGAGAACTTGTATTTCCCAGTTGCTCTGTGAATGGCATTTCGAACCGCTGAGTCATGGAAGTAACAGCTATGAATATAAAATAAGCTGTTAGCAAGAAACTAATGAAAAGGGCATAATTGCGCGATGATATGGTATGAAAATTTGGCCTTTGGAAAAGTAGGCCTACATTTTTTCATATAAAACACGATAAAAGCCTATATACATGCCAAAATACGCAAACGTGAACAAAATAAAGTAAGGCATAAAAAGTGAATTCAAGCTGTAATTTTTGTTTTGATGAAATAATTCTTTGACTATGATTTTTCCACGAGAGATTTAAATTAAAACAAATAAACAATTTTTATGCGTTTTTCATGAATTTCAACAAGGCTCAATAAAAGCATCTACTAATATTAATATTTTACAACTCACGAAAACAGCCATTAGATTCGCCATTGCTAACGGCTTGAGCTAATCCTTCAGCACAGACGCAGGTGTAAGATCCAAGAGTGTTGACGCAAACCTGTCCTGTCATAAAACATTGCTTTCTCAATGCGCATTCATTAATGTCGATGCACATGGGATTTGTTCCGTTGGGATTCTTCTCATATCCTCCTGGACATGAAGCTGTACAAAAAAGCAGAGAATGAGATTGACAAATTTATTTTTGATCAAAATGTAAAAGAGTAATTTCAAGTGAAGAAGTGTCGAGAGATTCAGAAGATAACAATTTAATCTTCAAAAACGCGAAGTAAGTCATAAAATTAATGATTAGGTGTACTGCTATAGTTCCTTGCTTTGTAAATATGGCAGCATATTTAGTAAAATTGCTACAGGATGAACCAGAAATCATTCACGAGGGGAATTCTGGAACGGCCGCCGACGCACTAGGAGTCACAAATAACCTGTCTCGTGTTTTTGGAGTGGGTTAGTAACGTGATATAGATCTACAGCCAAACATTTACATATAGCGCCAACTAAATATTCATATACAACCAATGACATATCCCTATTCAGCCAATTAATATTCAAATATTGCCATTTTGGTGATGTACATACACAGCCAATGTCATATAATATGTATAAACAGCCAAGTAGATTACTCCATAGACACATAAAGGTACTCGCAAGTCAGACACATGTTAGTAGCACAAGGTCGAGCAATGGCAAAAAATTGTAACCGCAAGAAATGGAAACTTACTACAAAATAAAGTACGTTGCTAAAAAATTTCAGGTTGTTACAAGGTTGATTAGTGCAACTTAAGGGTGAATAATAATATAAACATACCTAAAGTAGACGATGTCATATTAGTAGTCTTAGTAGTAGAGCCTTTGAGAAAAACGTAATCATATATATTAGTTAATATCTTTTCCCAGTATATATTATATCTCAGAGAAAATTCGACAAATTTCGCATAAAACGGCGTTTAGGACTTTATCAATAACAATATCTAGGTTTGCATTGTAGAAAGTAATTTTCTTGAACACAAGCTTATAATATGGAATGAGTTTCTTCGCCCTTCACCGAGTTTTTATAACATTCTATCCAATTGGGGAAATCTCCAAGATTATGAAAATTGTAGGTCAATTTCTACAATGCTCATTGTTTTGAAATTAGACATTGCACCTCCAAATTTGGCAGATGTTAATCAGTAACGTGTGCAATAATTAAATTGATATAACTGGCGGAATTATTTCAAACCAGTGGTCAATTGTGGTCGATTGTGAGGAGTTTTTGACATTGGCCTAGAGTTTTCATTGGTGCTACAATAGGTCCCAAGAAATTGTATGGCTGAAATTGATGATAGGTTTGGAAATTCAATTTGACAAGCTGATAAATAGATACAATGGATTACTGGGTCACAAAAAGATTGAGAACCACTGAGTTGAACGATATATTAGTGTATCATGCCACAATCATTCTGCAATGATAGACCTAGTCCATATTAAGAAGTTCTGCTTGCAGAGTATGGTATTGCGACTTGAACAATGTAAGTCGCTGAATGTGGTTACTTGACTGGCGTTTTTGATCGCCCTTGCAATGCAAAAAAGTGTCTCAATTTCAATATATTGAATATATATATATTTTTTCAAATCATATATGGAAAATTATGCCATGAAATAATCGGATTCAAGACGAACTTGATATGATTTCGTTGGCGAAACAGTTAGGGATACGCGGATGCCAAATTTCGAGTAAATCTAGATTTGAACGTCATGCTTTTCAGTAAAACTACTCAAAAATTCAGGTAAACTATATTTTTATAAATAAATCTTCAAAAAACAACTGATATATTTTTAGTTTGAAATTACTCCATTAAATTAAAAATCTTGCTGTGCAATCTTTGCTAACCTGTCGTCGTTGTCGAAGCAAGAGTAGTGGTTGGCCATGTTGTTGTCGAAGCAAGAGTAGTGGTTGGCCATGTTGTTGTCGAAGCAAAAGTAGTGGTTGGCCATGTTGTTGTCGAAGCAAGAGTAGTGGCTGGCCATGTTGTTGTCGAAGCAAGAGTATTGGTTGGCCATGTTGTTGTCGAAGCAAGAGTAGTGGTTGGCCATGTTGTTGTTGTCGATGGAGGCGTCTGAGCTAAAATGCGTTTGAAAATATACTGAGCAATCAACTTTACTCTAACATGCTTTAAGCTGAATGACAAATATTGTGGAAACATACTGTTGTAAAGATGGCGTCAGAGCACTCTTTCAGAGTCAGTTTTGACTATTCGTGTTCTATTATAATGAGAAGGTAAGAAACTCTGACCTCATAGACTAATATCGGCATGTATTGGTACATCTAGGAGTAATTTACACCAGAGTTTTTCAATGTGGTCGATCGTGAGGAGTTTTTGAAATGGGCCTAGAGTTTTCATTGGGGCTACAATAGGTCCCAAGAAAAATGTATGGCTGTAATTGATCTAAATTTTAGAAATTAACTTGACCTGCTGATAAATAAATACAATGAATGACTAAGCCACAGAGAAAGGGTTGAGAACCATTGATGAAACCGATATATTAGTATATCATGCCGAAATTATTCTGCAATGTTAGTGGACAAATGTGGTTGCTTGTATGGTATTTTCGATGGCGCTTGCAGTGCAAAAAGTGTCTCAATTTCAATATTTTTTCTTTCAAATTATGCCATGAGATAATCGGATTTCAAGGCAAACTCTATATAATTTTGTTGGGGAAACAGTTGGGAATACGCCGATGCCGAACTCCGGTTAACTCTCGATTCAAACTTCATGCTTCTCAATAAAATACCTCAAAAATTAAGAAAATTTTGGTACGCTTCATTTGTATAAATGTAACTTTAAAAAAATCAAACGACTGATATATATTTTTAGTTAGAACTGAGTTGAACGATATATTAGTATATAATGCCACAATCATTCTGCAATGATGGACCTAGTCCATATTAAGACGTTCTTCTTACAGAGTATGGCATTGCGCCCTAAACAATGTAAGTCGACGAATGTGGTTACTTGAATGGCGTTTTTGATCGCCCCTGCAGTGCAAAAAGTGTCTCTATTTCAATATATATATATATATATTTTAAATTATATATGGAAAATTATGCCATGAAATAATCGGACTTCAAGACGAACTCGATATGATTTCGTTGGGATACGCGGATGTCGAATTTTGGGTAATTCTTGATTTAAACTTTAGGCATTCCAATAAAATAACTCAAAAATTAAGAAAATTTTGGTATGCTTCATTTGTATAAATGTAAAAAAATCAAATGACTGATATATATCTTTAGGTGGAAATTACTCCATTTAATTAGGAAACATGCTGTGCGATCTTTGTTGCTTGCTAACCTGTCGTCGTTGTCGAAGCAGGAATAGTGGTTGCCCATGTTGTCGTCGGAGTAGTAGTTAGCCATGAAGGCGTCCGAGCTAAAATGTTTTTTGAAATCATTCTGGACAATGAGCTTTACTCTAACAGGGTTTGAGATGAATGACAATTATTTTTGAAAACTTATCGTTGTGAAGATTGCGTGAGAGCATGATTTCAGAATCAGTTTTGGCGATTCGTGTTATAAACACCCGCATTTTAGACAAATGTCGGCATGTATTAGTCTAGACTAGAATAAGAGATAAACTTTTTAGTGGCGCTGAACTATGATGATTTATTTCAGAGGAATCTGTGCAATAGTTTAAATTTTATTTTTTATTATCCTAGTTGTATAACTCTTAATATACACAAAAGCAAACCTGTTACTGTATTGACAAAACGATTCCTTTAAACATGTAACAAGTTTGATAATTAAAGCAAAATTAATATGTATTTGATTACATTCAAACAATATATACATACATTAATATAGATAGACGGATTTGAATGGAAACAGTACTGGTGGCAGCCTATGGTGACGCGAAACAGCGATTGAAAATCACCGGTATAAGAGAATGCTTCCTTGGATATGATGGAGAAAGTGCAAGATATTTGAAAGAAAAAGTGAAAATTACTTATAAATTAACTTACTCGTTGTTGGCGATGTTTGAGCACCACTAGTCAATTCTGTAACTGAATGAGTAACATATTATTAGCTAGTGTTGGAAGAAGTTGGCTTCGGAGCTCACGAATCAATTGAAAAACGCACATCACAATTTCATGTTAATTGAGTTTTTTATATTTCTAAAACTGAGTCGCAAAAATTTATTCTAGTTCCCAGAAAATTATAGTATGCCACGCATGAATCGAAGATGAATAGCGTTCTGCGTATATCTGCTATTACTTTGTTGTGAGTACCTTTTAAAAAAAGGATTTTGAGACAAGACTTCTCTTGCAATCTCAAAAACTAATTAAATCAAGTTTTCTAGACTAACACTTACATGTAGTTGCAGTCTGTCCTAAACGCCACATTGAGAGGAAAGTAATAGTAAGTACTGTTGCTCTTTTCATGTCCATAGAAATTGTATACTTATAAGAACTATAAGTTATATTCTATTGTAACAGAAAAATGTAAAACGTCAATTTTCTCATGGCATATAGTCTAGTTGTTCATTGAGACCTGGACTACTGAGCTACCTGGCTGAAGTCGCTGCTGTTGTTCATAGAAAATAATCCTTACGATCAGTTTTGCAACAAATGTATACAATTTTCTATAATCGTGTTATCTATCATAGACAAGGTAGTATAAAAGTCTGCCCCAGATTCCACAAGGAAAGAATTGAAATAGATATTTCTATTTTTTTTAATTTCCTGTCCGCACAGGTAGTTTTATGCCCATACCAGTTAAAATCTGTTCATACAAAGTAATCATGAAACGAATAGAGAAGTTGGATATAGTATGCAAGTCCATTCGCTGACTGAAATTCAAACCATTTCAAATTTTTATGGCCGCCTACTGGGAACAATCCTTCGAGACAATTTTGCAACAAATGTAGACAATTCGCTATAATTGTGCTTTTTTGCTATCTCTAGTAGAGAAGTACGAACAATTGCGAGAAAAATGACGAAGACAGTAGTGAGACCACGCTTCTTCACCGATGGGGTGCTAATTTGTATGTTAAATTCAAGGCAATGACCAGTTGCTTAGCGCGATTGCGTAATCGTCGGACAGCAATGTTTTGATCTCGGCATTGGGTCAGATATTACGACATGGGCATGGTGATTAATATTAATGACATGATGGGAACATTCTAGTGCATGCCTCCGGATGAGAACAGAACAGGCCTAGGTCATAATTTTGAGTTTTGAGAAAAACTCAAAAAACAATTTGGAATTTTTTTATTTTTGAATTTCTAGATATTCACACTTAGTAAGGATTTGAGCTCTGGTTATTTTAATGGGGATGAGAATATCTTTGTAATCAATATTTTTTGTCACCTCAGCTTTAAATCCTTCCTGCTTTTTTACCCCCATAAAGGATTTTGGCCCATTCTGTTCTCCACAACTTCTGAAATTTTTTGTATGGGATGCATGGTAAAAGAAGCTGACTTAGGCCTAAGTTGCACTGAACAAATTCTTAGGGATGTAAGTTTCGGACATTTCATTTCTGATGTTCATGCCCATCATATTGGGACTTAAGACAATCTTCTTTTCAATATTTTGGGGTTTTGAGCCATGATCTACAAAGGGGTGGCCTTGAAATCCTGAATTTCTCAATAATAAAAATTTTAGCTGGACTTAGGCCCATTCTGTTTTAAACTTCTACAAAAGATTATAGTCCTAAATCCAGCTAAAATTTTTGTTATTGAGAAATTCAGGATTTCAAGACCATCCACCTTGTAGAGCAGTGGTTCCCAACCTTTTATGACTCGTGGCCCCCTTCCAGCGCCCTTTTGCACTCGTGACCCCCCTGTTCGCCACCCCCCAAAACTAAATGTGTTTGATTGTATTATGTTTTAACGAACGTTTATGGAATACAAAAGCAAATCACAGACGAGAAAGTAAAAGCTATTTAGTATACAACTAATGGGTATCTTGCGCTTGGGACTGTCTGACGAGGTTTCTAGTATTAGACACCATCTTTGATATAGCCAGAAGATATCACTGTCAACATTAAGAGGGTTTCTAGATTTTGTTTCGATGGTAACAATATCAGAAGAACCATATTTGCACAGATAAGTTGCGGCAAATTGAACTAGCAGTGAAGAAGTTTTCTTGATAAGTAGTGAATATGAATGTGATATGCCACTTCATAGCTGCATTTAGAAGCGGGTTTTTTCTCCGACATAAACCCTAACTTGACCAATGTTGTTTTCCTGTCAATCTAACTCGGGGGGATGATTTTTGTCACGGTGGTTTCGGAATTTGTATGGACGTAATGATCTATTGCTCATTACATACAAGCATTGAGCGATTTCTCTGACATCTCAATTTAACTTTGGTAAAACCAAAATCAACGCAATTGTCGTTTCATTTTCGTATTTTAGGCATTAGGAATTTACAAATGGGTTTTTGCGTCTATAATACGATAGCGAAGGTTATCTCGCAGTTTAGTGAAACTACAGGTTTGACGGCCTACCGGCGAACTATTTTGATTGGTAGATTCCAAATTTCATTATAATCAAACAATTCATGCACAAGAAGGTGAATACACCCTGCGACCTATTCAAGCAATAAAACAGCGGTAAACCCTGAACGGGGAATTTATTTTGAACGGAAAGTTTGCAAACAAAGTCACTTTAATATCAATTATAAGCCTTGTGTCGTGGCCCCCTTAGGGGGCCCCCGGCCCCCGGTTGAGAACCACTGTTGTAGAGCATGGCTCAAAACTCTAAAATACTGAAAAAAGTGATTTTTTCAAAAATGTGACTTAGGCCCTTTCTGTTCTCATCCGGCGATGCATCTCGAATAACTGCCACGAATGCAAACGCTGTCTATAAGTAGGAGCTCGATTGGGAAAAACAATGCGACAGTTGGCCTAATAGATTCAGAACAAATTATGTTACCTTAACCTATGACCAGAAAAATCATACTTATCATACGCGACGGGAGTTTCTCCGAGCCCTTCGCCCCAGGAAACCTGCTCTTATACTTTATCACTGCCAAATTTTTATGCTTATTGGATAAATGTTTTAGCGAGTTAGCGATTTTGATTCAAAATACTTAACCGCCTTCAATCACATAGTCTGCTACAGCTTTGTTGGGCTTATTTTCGTTTACCACAAGAATCCGCAACTATACTAAAATTGCACAAAATGACAGTTGAGTTATCAGATTTTAAAAAAAAGTGTCGGGCAGGCTGCATAAATTTAATTGTTACATCACCATGCTGACACGGGGTAAACATTCATTGCATGATATACAATAGAAAATAGAGCGGGGTGCGATTAGAAGAAGCTAACATCACGTACGGTCCAAAATATAACCCGAAAGGGTTCACGACTACTATTTTACTATAGGGCTACTATCGTCATACTATTTCAAAGTCAAGCAAAAACAAAAACCACTTTCTCTGAAGTAAGGTATGAGAACCTTCCCTTTCAACTACACTCGACCCACAACACCTTCTAGACTAGAGTCTATATCACGATGAAAAATCTGGACTAATCATAATAGTGCCGTGATATTAGTCAATCGAGTCACCCAAGAAATGCATCCGCTGGTTCTTAATGTTTTATTTCCCCATTGCCTCACTTTTAATGTTCACGAGGTATTGCATGAGTAATTTAACAGAGCGTTTAAAATTACGACAAAATAAATTGGATTCTCATGTAAATCTTAGTGATGGAATCATAGAGAATTTTATTCTCTGTTCCGTCATTATTACAAACCATTTTGATGTAATTTTCAGCCATGTGTACATCAAAGATCTGACTAAAATCATCCATTATGTTCTTTCCATTTAACACGTAATACACCGGAAGCATTGTTTTTAATTTCGTTATTATGAGTAATAAACTCGTGAAATCATAAATAGTGACGTCACAAAGTACAAACCCGTATGCGCTTATAATGTGAAATAAAAAATACAATCTGCAGCGTAATATATGTTGTTATGCTCTCACTAAAATATACGGAAAAGGCAACATTTTTTAAAACATATAGCTAGAATTAAATATATATCACATTAATTAGAATTAATTATATACTCTTAAGTCATTTCCCGACCAGGGAAGAATGCTTTTCCATGGGGAATTTTGTCGTTTCTGGGGAAGAATTTTGATTGCTGTAGTTTTACCAATCTTTAATTTTATATTACTTACAATACTTATTTATGCAGAAATTTCAAACTATTCAAACTGTACAAAAGAGTTAGTGCGACTTGCATATAACACCAGCTATAACACCACAATCCACTGCTATAAGGTCGAAATTTCACATGCTATAGTCTATTTTGTTTCTTAGTAGGCCATCTGTTGACAGTACCACTCAGTTTTATATTACACATATGGCGCCGTTCAGTTGAGCCGAAGGTTGAACATTGTGAAGACCTTGATTCTCGAAGTCGGGTTTTTTGTTGATTCCAAGTACCTTCGTACGCAGTGAATCTGGCCAATGATAACTTGTATACTGCTTATCAGTCAGCACATTCGAGTTGTCTTCATGCGACAGGACAAGTATACCGTTATAATGCAACAAAATATGAGGTAATATATAATAATATAAAATAAGATAGCAATGCTAAAATATATAGAAACGAAAGTCAAAATAAATCCGCCACATGCTCATTTTAAAACCTTCAAATACCAAATCAAATTGCAATGCTGAAAATATATTCATGAATAAATAGCGATTATCCAACTCTTTATTTCCCCCGAAATTAGGCGTGAAATAGGACCCGATTAAAATTTGAAATATTTAACAGTAATAACTTTATAAAAATAAATGATGAATTAATTACTCGCCGTAACGTCTACTTTTCGAAAATATGCTAAAATTTTCCCTTCTCTAAAGAATACCATTCGACTTCATATTTCCGTGTTTATTAAAATTTTTTCTATTCGCTCATCTACGGGTGTTGATGACTAACTCTAACTATTTTTCAACAATTAATTAAGATTACCTCGTGCTATCGATTGGACAAGTCTGGCCATCCCCCTCAACCAGTATAGGAGATTAAATTATAGAGAAACGGCAAAACGAATGGCGCTTGTTTACAGCCATATAGTTGAGCATTTACGTATGGATAGGCCCATTAACAACAACACGTTAACCTGTGCTGACATTGAAAAGTAAATCGAAATAACATTCATGTTACGTCATCGATCTTTTAACAGGATCAGCGTCCATTTCAACTAATAGATAGTCACGTGATCAGTAGCGCGGACAAAAGCAATTGAGTGCTTTTGTCCGCTGAATGTTTCCTTCGATCAAGCATAAAAGACACTTGAAGCGTGTCTACTGATGGTGAATATATCATAACCCACGTATGGCCTTTGTAACGACTGTAAATTGATCTGCTTTGTTGTTTTGTCTTCGTTCGTTGTGTTATTGTTCTTTAGAAGGGAGAGTGATGGCAGAGACAATTCAAACACACAGCTTGGAAATTTCGGAATTCATAACAGTGTTTGGTAGGTTAGTTTAAAAGTTACAAGGGATGAGTATATAGCTGTCGGAGATTCTGAGACTGTTTTTCTTTCATATCTGTAGGTGATTTTAGAATAATATTAAAAAAGTGTTGTGTACATCAATATTAAGCACCTGATAACTATTTTGTGTTTCATGTATGGATATCACTCGAGGCTTCAGATGAGCTAATGAAGTGAAAGAATACGTTTATGCTGCATGTGCTGACTATTCGATACGGAACTAAGTAAAATCCAATATCACTGATTTGTGACAAACGTTATTACTTACTCAAGAATATGAATCGAAGTCATATTGGACCACACGTGCCCTTGCTGCAGCGTATATTTTGTGTTTTATCAATAATAGCAATCCCATTAGGACTTTCAACACTTGTTGGCGGTGTCTTGATTATAATATTCTTGTCTGGTGCAGCATCTGCAGCGTCTGGAGCAATTGTGATCTTCGTTGGATTCTTAATATGTACATTAACGCCTTTCATATCCTATAAAATTTTTAATCTTCGTATCAAGTTATACGAAGGATCCCCAAGGATTGTAAAGAGCTATGGAGAGTTTCCAAATGATCTCACCTACCCTCAAAGAGGGATGAATCTCTACAACGTTGCCGAGTTTACTGATGGCACACAGCCGGGTGGAACTCAAACACAAGGTATTTAACATCGAATTATACTGCTTATCTCATGTTCATATACCTAGCGAATGATGTATCGATATAATTTATTATGTTAATTTATTATGCAAGTTTATTATAATTTTCCCACTAAAATATTCTAATTCCGTCCCGATGATTGTTTATGGTTTTCTTGAAATAATTGTACACTATCAAAGCATTTTCTTAAAGTAAACTGAACGACGGGGAGGGAACGCTTAAAGGGCAATCGAATTTTTGCGTCCATATCTACCAACTACCTGCTATGATCTATGCAGTTAGAACCCAATCTATCACCGTCCGACATTGTCTTATTCCGATTCTTGAACCAAATACCCATTTGTCAGCGATTACAAAAGCCTAGTAGTGTTGAAAACATTGTTAACGTATGCATAATAAAATGATGGCTATTTCTTTCTGAAATTTCAGTTAAGTATTAATAGCTTAATCAACCAAAGTAAATACTATGGAGAACTTGCAGTATATGGAAAGTATATTGAAAATTGTATTTTATAATATTTTGAAACGTAGTAGCAAAATATAAGACAACTAAACCGCATTTTCAGTAAAACTTCAAAATGTATTATTTCAGCTGGCCCATCGAGGTCCACATACCTTCCAGCAGAAAACGAAATACGCCTTGACTTTGAAGAACAATCAACATCTTTTGGAGCAAATATGACTCCACAGACTGAGTCGGAGAGAGAAGAAAAACCGTCTCAACCCCAAATGTTATCATTCGTAACGTCGCAGCCTAAATCCAAATCTGATTGGAAATCAACAAAGACAAAACCTTTGAGGCCAAGTAAGCAGCAAATGGTTGACGAAAATCCGGGTGTTTACTATTCCACGGTTAAAGACGAGAATGGAGGACAGCATTTTAGTGTTTCTAATCCAGATTTACCACCACGTAATGTGAGCAGACTCCATCCACAGCCGAATATGCAATCCGATGATAATGCCAGTCGAACAAAGATATAGATTTAACAAAACGTGACTAGTCAGCTGCTCTATTCTTCATTCGCAGTCCACCAAATCCAATTAAAACCGCTGCGCTTAACCGGTAAACAAAAAATGGATTTTTAAAATTGATTTGAATATCAATCAAGGACCCAACAAAGACTATTGCCCAATCCTGATGTTTTATTCCTATCATGAATCACTCCCGATACAAGTACATACAAATCACATCAGTTTCAAAGTAAACTACTAGAATTTTTAAGACGAGTGTAAATATTCTTTTTTCAGATTATTGATAAATATTTCATATACTTTTTTTTTGTAAACAATATTGTTCATGAAGAGTGTTTTTATATTAGATGAAATATTTACCTAAAATATATATATATATATGCATATTTACTCAAAAACGAAAGTGAAACTACTAAAAATTACTTTCTGAAAATACTAAAGAGCAGACAGTTTAGATCTGGTAAGTTAACGTTTGGGAAATCTAGCCAACGAAAGTAAAATGACTCGGATAGGGTTAGCTGGTCGGATATCCAATGCATTCAGGCTTTCCCCCAACTTCTCGTTAGTGGTTGTTGCAATATTATATATTCGTGGTCCACTTCGTGCAGCTTCCCCTCCCTTCCATAGACCTGTCAGATTCCAGTGGGAGGGATCTATCGGACAATTCTGACCTCACGCTAAAACAACACTGAAAATGGAGCCATTTTTATCAAGGCATGTCTCGAAATAACGGACTGTAATGTTAGTTTATACCTTTGACCTATTTGGTTCTGTGGGACTAAATACATATCCTTCTATGTCTTTATGCCGGTAGATCCATATGCATTTAATACAAGGATGCTGTAGTAAGAGTGAAGATAAACATAACCATGATTCAAGAGTTTTTCTACACACTGACACAGATATATTTCTGTAAAGTTACGTAAAGACTTCCTCAGATATACATTATTTAACTACAACAAGATGAGAAATTGCATGTATTGTGCGGAGCAAAACTCTTTAATCACGGGGAAATATATACTACTGTTACGGAATATCTAGGTCCATAGCTACCACAAACGGTGGATTTTTCGAATACCTGAATATGTATAGAAGGTGAATCGTGGCTTGAGTTAGCAAGTCTGCGCATTTGTTGACGTCCTTCATTTTATTTTCAACCGCCGATGGATGTGGATTGTTCTCTGTGTTGATCCATTCTATTTCCGCTACGCAGGAACGCCGCTCGCAGCACACAATACCAACTGCCTGATACAGTCTCAGTGTTTGCTTCATTGCTCATTTTAAAAGTTTCATTTATTCAATCATAAAGTTCAATCTCACATTCGAGTTTAGATAATTTTGCAACAAATCTATATCCAATGCGGTTGTTCATTTCAACAACGAGAGAGAAATGCTCAAATATATATACACGAAGGTAACAATTACATCGATGCCGGTAAGATCGCGGATGAGCAGCGGTAGCAGTACCGACTTCGTTGGGAAAATGTCAAATTGATCGAAGTAATGCCATGTGGTGGCGCAATATGAGCCGAATTGACAAATTTGGGGTGTTAATTGTAGCAAATGATAAACTTTGAATGGGAATATTGGGTACAAGCTCTCGTTCTACAACGGAATAACCTATTTTGCCAAATAAATTTTATGCCCGATTTCAGGTTAGTTCATGGACAATCCACAACGCGCATTAAATACCTCGAGTAACAGATTATTATCAGATGCAACACATATCTCACTCACTTCCTCCTACTGTATAGCTTTTGATTAGATCATACTGTAAACCATATCTGTATCGGAAGATTTCATGGCTGGAATTTACACCGAGGTTAAAATAACAAAACCCAATAATCTAACGCCGATCGCCTCGTACGTCGCAATCGCCCAAGTACGAAGCATTATTTCAGAAATTTAGCGGGTTGCCCAACCCAAAGAAATGACTTAATAAACGAGTACCAATTTATTTAAACGTCTATAAAAATATATACGTTGGATAGTGTGTAGCACGCCTTAATCGTAACGGCCAGTGTTTATGTATTTCTGCATCAACCAACCTGTGCATCGAGAATGTTTATCCAGTTATAACTGTTCCCTGGCAGAAAATAGGCGAGAGATATAAATATCATATAATCCAACCGTCTCATAAGCTTCCCTTTCTCACATGATTAACTTGAAGACGCAAATTACGTGCGAATTATAGCACGTGTTATGTCGACGGGTGGACAGTATTCCAGTTTCACACATTCTTCTTCATTATCTGGCGATTTTGTCCACGGATGAGAAACAAGCTACTGCAATAATAATTCCTAATCACTACATAATACCAGTTCATGGTACGCATTGTTTTTGAAGTGTGTCGCAGTATTAATAATTCAAACATACTGTCAAGATATATTTACGAAATGGCAATATTATTGTAAATATTAATACAACAAAAAATTATCGGTTCTTCTTATACATGCAGCATTAGCTAGCAATGTGGAATTTTCCTTCGAAAGGAAATAATGGTGCGACGGAAAACTCTGGACAGACGTAGTTATGCACATTATGTACTTTTTGCAGAAAAGATCATTGTGAGTTAGTGTTTGTAATTAATGACGTTTGATTACAATCCCTAAACACACTGTTATACTTTTGTATAGGAAAAATGGTTTCAATCATGATAGAATAGAAAACCACTTTATATGTTGAGGAACAATGATTGAAAGTCAATATTATATGATTTTTTTGGAGATGAATTAAAGGCATAATGAAATAAACGTTTTCAAGGTCTGTTTTTACTTTTAAAGTTGCCTCTGGCTGGCAATATCGGGAGGCAGAGATGTTGGCAAATTATATGTGAATCTGTGTTAATTAAAGATAGCTGCATACCTGGAGTAATATCTGAAAGTGGAATCCATGACAATGAGTATTTACTAATTTTTCACTTCTAGCAAGTTTTTTTTATAAAAGCAGTTAGAAGTAAAAACAGGAAAAAAAATTGGACTGATTATAGGAATAATTAGTATTAGAATAACTAGTAATTCAAAAATGTCATTGTATTTGACGATTCTGTTATGAAAAAAAGTGCAGTTGAATTAATCAATATCGTCTTCCATATCATTTATTATTTGATTTTGCATTGAAATGACAAAAATAATTGAATGGAAAATGTGAAATAATATTAATGTTCAATATTTTAGCATAAACTGTTAGTTTATTTCTAATCGCATAGTTAAGCGCAGAAAATATTTGAGAATAAAGGGACAATCGAATTAAAAATAAAAAGCAAATATTCATTTTAATCTAATGCTAAATTTAACATTGTTGTGAAACTACGCACGAAAATAATTAAAGGTGTAGCAGACAACTTTGAGACATATTATTTTGCTTCAATTAAACCCTTTTAAAATTGCAGGTTTTTGGAATAATTAATTTTCAGGCCTAACCTTTACCATAATATAAGATAGCTATAAATTAAATCTTTAGAATGTGTTAAATACTAAGTATAATACTGTTGCTTCTTGCATGCAAAAATTAATGTTTTCTTATTTTTTTTGTTTTCCAAATAATAATATTCCTAATTATATCAGTATTATTCTAAATTATGTGTGTATGAGTGTGAATGACTTAATGATTTACAACATATTTATTAAGTGAGTGGAACTTTATTTGTCAACACAATTAAATTTGGAAAGACTCTATTTTTAAGTTATGTTTTGTTTGCTCTATTGATTCTGTAATCATTTTAAATTTATTTTTATCATATATTTTATCGCTTATTATGGAGTCGAAATGCAGAAAACAATGGTGACCAAATACGCACGGAGAAAGATAAATTTCTGAATAGTCTCTCAAATAAAAACACTGTAAAATATAGAAGTACGTCAGAAAACGCGCCTAAATTATTTTACAATTCGAGAGTCAATTCGAGGTGAAAAATCTGGTTTGAAAAAAATAAAATATATTTTCGATTTGTAAACTCTTTTGAATTTTTATTGAAATACTTTGAAAATACTGCTTCAAACTATGATTAAATACTAGCTTATAGAGAACACCTATATCTTTGTAATATTTTCAAATAAAATTTTAACATTCGCCCTTTTGTCTCGAAATCTTTGCATTACAGTTCCGCAAACGAAGTACGTTATTACGTACGTCTTGTGAGTTTCACGTTAGAGTTTCTGTCATTCTGATGTTCTCTATGTCATTGTTCTATTTGTATTTTTCGCAAACTCCTAATTTTGAGCCCAAATTATTGCAATCAACGCTACTTACTTGACAAATCGGAACCGAAAATGAAGCAGCTGCAATTCTGACAACAACGCTAAAAGTTGATAATTGCGTAAAATTACCTCATATTATCGCCTTCCAAACATTTTTGTGACATAGGTAACGCGTGAAGTAAATGATATACTATTTTACGTGAAATTTTATTTAGTATTGTTATAGAAAGTTTTGGACAATTGCTCACATTCTCAAAATTTCTTTGTTTTATTCAACATTATCTTGATTCCTTGTACAGGGTATAATTATGGAAATTGATAGTTGAGAAACCAGAAAAACTTTTTTATTGATGAAAATTCGGAATATTAATTCAAATGTAAATATTCATTTTAATGTCTTCTCAAGGTAAAGATTCCAGGTCCAGAACTTTAGCTAGGGTGCTTTGATAGGCCAGGCCTGGACTGGTAATTTACTGACAAATCAAAAATAGTAAATTTTTCCGTACTTGTCTGTAGGTGTTCGTGCAGAGCCTTGGTAAGAGTGGAATTGTGCAAACGCCCTTTAATCAACTACTATTTATTTTTTATCCACGTGTTTTAAGTGGGGCGATACTCATTTAAACTGCAACGTTTCACACCTTTTCCTAATCAGCATCGTTTCGAACTTGGCCAAACGAAAATTGGTCATCCTTCATTGTAAATTTAATTTATTGTCCGGTAATATAATCCTGAGAAGTATAATAAAAAGTACCGTTAGTATTGAGTAAACAAACAATTTCACGAATAGCGTTCAAGTTCCGCCCCTCTTTATAGCATAATAATCCTCTTAACGATTCTCATTATGACATCAAAATTGGAATACAGCTTCATCCGACTTTGGTCATTCGCCATTCAACAAATGAAGACCCCAATAGCATAAATATCGCGCTTCACTCATAGAAAAAGATTCAATGTCGTTCAATTTCAGAAAAATCATTGTTTTGGAAGAAAAGATAAAAATGAAAACGTAGATAGTAAAAATTTGTAAAAAGTACATCTTGAAAAAATATTAAAGTGATAACAGAGAATACGTAATTTAATCTATTACCTTTAACAATTACTTTCTGGCGTTTGAATAATTCCCGGAGGATAATTTCAGTTTATTTACTCGTTCACAATGATGATTAACCTAGTAAAAATAGATGAAATATTGGTTTCAGAAGGGCCGCAGTACTAAAGCAGTATCCATTGCCCAATTATCGGTATTTTCTGAGCGACTTGACTAACTTTTTTATCAGTGTACTTTTGTTACTTTTTGTAAGCTCAAGTATCCGCAGTCCAAGGCGGTAATTATTTTTATTTCCAACTATTGCGTCATAATAATCTTCTCTAATTGTTTGTTTGTCGTAATATAACTACATCCATACGTCGCCATATCTTCGATCAAGCTTACTCGAGCCATTGATACGTTGGTTATGTAAGGTTTAATCATGATAGAAATCCTCAAATCATCTAATTTGTACTCGAATAAACATAAAGGACTCGCTTTTATGCCCTGTCCATTGAAACTGTGAAATTTGTGTTTCCTCTACGATTGATACAGTACAGAAAGCATTTTGAACATCTAAAACTAGGTATTTACATTGCAAGAGTTCAATCAATTATTACTTATAATATTTATTTATCAGTCTTTAACGAATTTTTCTCTTTTTGGCCATATCACCTTGGAACTTTTGTGGCACGATAGAAATTTATTTTATTATTTCAGAGTTGAATTTTACACCATTGATTAGTGCAATAAACAAAACATATTGTTTTATGGACAAATTTTATAAAAAGTATAGGTCGATCGTATGAATAGCACCGGTGTCATTTCAAGGATATTGACGTCACTAAAAACCTTTTATAAGGAATAATGTATAAAGATATAAGAATTAGAAGGAACAGATCTTTTGGGCATAGAAAACTGAATTTTTTGAAATCCGTTTCAGAGAGTTGACTTGGGTTGATTTCTAGTGGGAGTGAACCTGAACGTGCATTTGTCAATATGATAACAATGTTAGACGCATTCCACGGCATAATTATTTGTGCAAACGAGTAAATCTTACGATTTTTCAAACAGTATTTTACATGCCAATGTATAGCAATAAAATTGGACACTTTCGCTTCTATACTAACAATTATGTAATCGTGTTGTAGCCCACGGTAATGTTTAATGTGTAATTAACTTGGCGTTTTTCTCTCCTCGCAAAACTAATATTTCCTTCTATCGCCCCTCAAGTTGCTCATTACGTGGGAGTGAGTGTACAAGACAGGAAGTAATATCTTTCAGTAGTCGCTGATATAAGATAATGGAGAGATTACAAGCTTAGAATAAGATAACACAAATATAATAGTGAAGATTGTCAAAAATGATTGCTATCAGGATTTAAAAAATTTCTCAGAATAAAATAACTTTTAAGGCTATTGCTCGTCATGGCATTGCTACTCCATCGTATTATTTTTGAACTTTTGCGAATGTGAGTGTTTGAAAATTTCCATATTTTTTTCTAGAGTAATATTAATCTTAAAAGATAAAAAACTAGAATAAACTAATTGTAAGAAATATCTTAGCTCGCTTTGCGTTGAATCTGTATTTATTCCATATATGATCTATTTTATTTTAACACAAAGTATATCCACACGTCAAACTTGTTCCTTGTGATGTTCGCGTTTTTTACTGATGAGTATTTCACTAAAAGAGTGTTTATTATTTGAAAAAAAGTTTAATTACCAATTGGTCTAGATGGCAACTTTCGGTAGTAGGGACCAACAAAAATGACTGCACAAGATGAAAGATTCTTTCCATCCTTATATATACATATATTATTATTTTTTAATATTATTAATAGCTTAAGATAAGCCTAATCAAATAGTTCGAAGATAGATCGGTGAAGATATTTTTGAAATCCAGCTAAAGAAAAATGTAAGTAGTAAATCGATTAGGTCGCGCCTAGTATGGCGAATGATTCAATTCGTCGTCGATTTTTTTGAAATAGAATTTCATTGAAATAGAATATTCTGAAAAAAGTAGCTATTGAAATCCCAATATCTTTCATGCTTTTTTCTCCTAAAAAAAATTAACTTTGATTCAATATTGATGACCTATATAATTTTTATAAGAAAATTTTTCCTTGTCAAAGTCAAAATAGTAGAATTTATAAAATTATAGATTATAGAATTAACAAAATAGCAAGTAACCACTTATATTCTAATTTAAATTGTCAATTTTCGTATCTTGTTTACGTTTTTACTGCTTCAAATCAACATGAAACTTAAAATAACATGTTGAAGAGATTGACCCACAGACTCGATCTTCGAGCCTTTAAAATATAAACCTTCGGAGCACCACGACTAAGCTATCGGTTTACGCAACTTCAATTCCGTTCCTAATTTCAGGTCAACAACCAGCTCCCATTACGTGTGTCTCGGGGTAGCGATTGTATTTCTACAATTTTCTGTGACATCACAAGCGACTACACAAGCAGTTCCGACAACACCCGCGAAAGAAATATATAAAGCTGTATTTTATTCTAAGGAACCGGGAAAAGAAAACAAAATAGGTTCGTATTTTTCTTTTTGTGGTGAGTTCTTCGATATGTACAAGTCTGATAATAGAAATTAAAGCAACCAATTCGTACATGCTGTCTTAGGAAGTAAGTTGGATGCTACTTAGAATTACTGCAAAATCTTGAATTTGTAAAGCAGTCTCCAACTCATTGTCGGGTTGTCGGGAGGACTGTCGTTCGTCTGTCGTTCCAATGCTATAAAAAGTTAGGTTTGCATGTTTTAGCTAATGGATGGCACGGTGATACAATATTACTATTATACAGTGTACTCGATCTAACAAAATGTTTTGCAATAAAATTAAACTAGGAAATAATTCCAATTGATTTAAAAAGGCATGGAATGAATTGGACATCGATCAGTGTGAAATAAAACCTCTTTAGTTTCCAAATTATATCAAACCCATAGGCTACAATGAAATACGCTGTTTTCAATGTAATTATATGTTTAAAAGGACCAATTAAAATGAAAGTATCTGTTTTTTAAATTCTTTTAGCAAATTTCAGTCAGTAGTTCCCAAAAACAAATTAATCATTATCTTTAGTTTGAAGACGTGATTGTTAAAAAATTGTGGTAAAATTCGTGAAACGCACCAAGATCTAATTTTCGCAACAAAGCGCAAAGTTATTGTCTTAGTCATCGGTAAAATATAACTTGTAATGTCGTTTGGCATTTGACAAATGACAACCCATACGTGAAAATTATACGTAGGACAATTACATCAACAATGAAACTTAATAAGGGCAAATTGACCTTAATTTACTTTCAACATTGAATTTTTAAAGCAATTTCAGTGTCAATTCAAAATATGTGTTAAATTAGGGGTCATGTAATGTAATAACGTCACTATCATCCAACTAAATAGCCACAGAGGCAGATATACAGAGAGGTAAATATTGTTTGCTACATATTGAAAACACGAAATTACAACAAACTACTAGTTATCGATGATTCGTCGCGTTCATGTTTCCGCAACTCAAGAGATTCTGTCCAAATTATCCGATTTTATGAAAAAAGTCCCGGCTTTTATCCAGCCATAGATTGATTAGGAAAAATCATCTTCGTCACATTTCATGTTATGGCTAATTGATTAAAATGAGTTTTTTTGTAAAACTTCAAGAGAATAATTTGCTACCTCAATTGTACTTTACTAAAGGTGCTTTTCTTCAACCTACTTATTATAAGTACTTGGGCTTGATATCAACTTTTTCACAGTCCATGGACGAATAGGACATGCAATGAAATAACAGGGTAATCGAGTCGTGTCATAGTAAGATAAAATGCCACGTAGACTGTTCAACCCAAAACCATTAGTCTTTTCGACCAAACCTATTAGTGAACTCAGCTGTTTGGCCCCCCAAATATTATTCTCAATATTATGAAAAAACTTCTGGTAATTGAAAAGAAAAAACTTCATGATATAATGCAAATTTTTTTTTATATTTTTGGCGGAATCTTATAAACTATGCAATTCGTGGGAGAACGTAATATAATTATACTAGATTGTATATTCTGCGTTACAGTGGCGCTAGTGACCAAAATTAAACCTTATTTGAAGCAATTTTCTCTTTTATAATAAAAACCAACAGATTTTAATAAGTCCTCGAAAATTTGCAATTTTAATTTGAAATGCCATAGCATGTTATTAAAGTACTCACAACAATTAATTGATGCTTAAACGCGGAAACCGTGACTCGACTCAACAGTAACCACATTGTTAAAATGAGACGAAAAATCGCTGAAAACTTCAAGTTAACAAACTGACCGTGTATTTTGGGCTAACATAAATTTAAAACGCGATTTTATCGGTTTCATAATTGTGCATCAGGTTTGGCGAGTTTATTACAATGTAATGCATGCTTTGTAAAGTCAGTGATTCAATATGAATACTTTTGTTTATCGCGCCATATTCTTTAAGTTTAGTCTTAGCAATACAAAAAAGTTTTTAGCGTCAATATCAAGACTAAAAACTTTCGACCGAAATCCCAACCGATTTAATATTGAACCTGTAGAAATTAGTTTCCATGTCATTGACTAACATGAATAAAATGGATGAGAAGAAAACTTTGAGAAGTTTTATTAACTGTGGATCAGTTTTTGAAAATAATTTTGTTCAAATGTATAATTTTTCAAATATGTACTAATTCTAAATTTTATAATCCATTAGAAAATCAACCAAAATAACGTTTTCTAAGACGTTCAATATTACGTGGAACAGGCGATGCTCGACCAGAGCATTTCTTTATTTTGTGTTCATTACGTCTCTACCAATCTTCGATTTGTCTAAATTAAACCGGATCTAATTGTGACATCAAATACTAAAAATAAACTTCAAAGAAATGTTGAACAATTATCGCATTCGCGAGTTAAAACCCAGCTGTACATAAAGTTATTTCCGAGTTTGCTGGTAAACTACGCATTTCTAGTTAGTGATTATTATAAATGTCTACTCCCAGCCTTGTGAGGCTATCCCAATATAACGTCATTTACCCACGAACTATACTAGATGTTTTAAGAAATTATGAATACTTTAAGCTTTAATATTCACTGCAAAAGAACAATTATAGACAAAAAGCATAGAATATTTAAAACATGAGAATGAACATTTTGGGCATTTCACAATCTAAGAATTAGAAAACAAAATTGTAAAGCTCAGCAATCTCGCTTTGTGTCATAAATTTTCCATAATAATTTGAATTTTACTTATCATTCTCATTTTGTTCTTGATGTCAATTAAATTCATTATAATGAGTTGAAATATAACAAGTTCTTACTAAAAATGCTTTCTGAATGACATTAGGGTCACTGCACCATCCTATTATTATATAAAATTCAGTATTGGACATAACAGAATTCCTGACTTGAAGGATGATGAATCATGTTATATGATATTTAAATCTGGCTAATCCGTTAAACCCTAGTAAAAGAAGATAATAATTTAATTTTATATAATATAACATCATGAAAATAGTATTATTTAGTTCTCGTAATTTACCATAACGTAATTTCGGAATGTTTCTAACTTTAGAGTTAGGAGAAAGTGCCACTGTTGAACTATTCTGAAAATTAAAATATTATCTTAGCGAAAAAAAGTGCAGGTATTTCGAAACACGGGAATTATTTGAATGGTGGTAGAACGTGATATGTTGATTGATACTAATTTATAGCGCTCAGACATGCGGAATGTGAGACGCTTGCGAGACCTGACTGAATGGTCTGGACGAGACGAATTTCTGTGAGAAATGATTTTAATTATTAGTAAAATGTCATCAATCCCAGATTTTCATTTTCACATTCCGACTCTTTCATTTTCTATCATATATGAGGTAAAAGAAAATCCATACAGTGGCATTTTAATTCAATAAATGGTCATTATTCGAGATCAACGATTTCAATCCTTTACTGTTTTTTTTGTAAATTTTGTATTAATCGAAATGTAGAATAAATAAAAAATCTGCCTGCTACAACCAAACTTTAATCATTATGACAAAGACTATCAGCTCCCGTGTGGATGATAAAAATGATGTCGATCTCTTAAAATAGTGTCTTTTCAGAAATAACCGCGTTGAACAAATTGTTTAGCTACTTTTTTTTTTCTTTCCAGGCATCTTTCAGGACATATTTTGTGGTTATAAAACACACAGTGTAAATTAAGAGTTTTCATTTGGATCGACCCTTTAACAATTATTTAGGAAAAACAAGTCAAAATTGATTTCTTTTTCAGAATGCAAGCTGCACTACATACGATTTGACGGAGCTTATCTTCGAGGAGTGAAAGCGCCAAATCATATTCATTTTAATGGATCGAATTTTGAAGATTGCAAAAGAAGATGCTGCTATGAATCTAGGTAGTGACTTAATTTTTTTTTGTATGTCAAAACTTAAATACTACTCTAGGACTAACACATTTATGCAAACAACGAATTCCATTTTTACGTATTCGTGGTCGTCGCCATATTCGTGGAATTTGCGCCTTCTACGTTTTGCAATTCCATGGTTTTCATTAATAAGTATTACAAATTGGAAATTCATTTCTCCTGTTCTCGAGTGCTTTAGAGTAGGCGGTTTATAAGTTTAAAACGAACACGGACTGAATTTTTAATCTTTCTATAGATTATAATAAATGCAAAACCATATATATTCAAATATATATAACTTTACCCAATGTTAAATAGGTTGGTTGGGCAGTGTGGTGCCGGGCAGCTTCCAACACTTACAAAAAATAGTGCAGGCCCTTGCTTGAAGCGAAATGTGTGTAAAGGCGTCGTATGAAAAACTTCAATAAATATTATTTTCACCATTGACAATGTACCTTCCCCCTATTTTAATATTTTCATGTTGTTTTCAGATTTGAATGCAAGTCATTTAGTTACTTCCGGTATCTTCGCCAATGTTTCATCATGAATGTGACACGTGAACATGAAAAAGTTGAACTGGTTGACTTTAAAGGATATACTCACGTAGAAATAGTGGAATCACCAGGTAATTTAAATTCTAAAAGATACGAAACCCTTACCAAGAAATGGCAGAACATGATTGTCCTCATTCTTTCAATGAAGAAAGAATTCTGATAAAACGTGTCTATATATTATTCAAATGACAAACCATGGTCCAGTGGTTCTGTTACCAGTCTAGGTGGGTCAAACCACCCTGTGACAGCGGGGATTTCAAAAATTTGCCAGCGCATCGGCATATCCCAGCCTGTATACAAGTGGACCTTTATCAGTCTCATAGAACAATGATCAATCACTGTTAAATTATTTTCTCTGTTGGCTTATGTTTATAATAGTGTTCACTTTTTTGTGGCTATAAATCTTTCTCCCTCTCTTCCGAAGAAATTTCTTACGAAGCTGCAAATGTACTACAGATGATTAGTTCTGAGATGGTCAACATTATTATATTGCTTAGTAGAACGATGACGTGTTCGTTGAGCTATAGACCAACTCGGAAATCTTGACATTTTTTTCACTTTTCACCCACACTAATATCTTCTTTATTCCTAACTTAGTCGAAGAAACGACCCAGACGCCTGACGAAACTACAGTAAGCATTGACGAAACTACGGAACCACTGTTTTGGGAGCCGTCTACCTTTTCTGAACAAAATACTGGAACGACCTCCCAGACTAAGGCGAGCAGCACAAGCGGCTTTCATAGCACAGATGGAAACCCGACAACTGATAATAGAGAAGATTCAGACACCACTGCAGTTTCTACAAAAAATTCTAATACCGAGAGTATCGTTAGCACCGATGGATCTAGCATGGAAGGTAGTGGTTCGACTACCAATCTTGTGACTGATGGAACAACTTCAACGATTAAAATTGCAGGACCGGATAAAGGCGTTCTGGAAGGTTGGTAGACAGTGTGTGTTAAAACAAGTTAACAATTATTTTTCCATGTAACAGAAAACCGAAGTTTATATTGCTGAAAAATACCTTCAGGGAATTGAATGATAGCACGGGTAAGCTCGCGCATTGTTGCAAACCTTTTCAAATTGGCTTGGTTTTGTTTGATTCAATTCGCTAATAGCAGAAAATTGTAGGCCTATCTTGTTTTCATTTTATTTCTGATAGGTGGCAACTATTGTCATACTCCACTTAATATTAACACGTTTGTATTGCACCTATACAGAGTCTGATACACCAGAAAAGTTGGTCTTGAACAACTGTCCTATGAACTGTGAAAACGATGGTGAATGTCTGATCAGAGAAACAAATGACCCTATTGCAAAAGAAGAAGCATATTGCAAATGTTCAGAAGGATTCGACGGAGAAAAATGCGAAAACATTGTTACCAATAGCGGTAAGATTCAGTACCTTCCCTAAATGTGCCTACAGCCCTACAGTGTCAATCTGCAAGCTCAAGACAAAATGAGTCTGCGATTCACATCTATACATACTTGGAAATATTATGACGATAGTTGTCGAAATACTGTATAACGTTTGCTTCTTACTATTTGGAACGTATTTCAACATTTTCGTTTACTCTGGATATTTTTTCGCCTCGTGGCATTCTTAACTTTTTATTCCACCATTTCAGATGGATTCCCAGTGGCGATTATCATTGTGATTGTCATAGTAAGTATCATTGTTATTCTTCTCATTGTTATATGCGTTCTCTGCCAATTACACAGACGGAAGAAGGGAGAATACAGGGTCGTCAGCCACTTCCGAAAATGGGCGAGGAGAGGAAAGGCAAAGGTGAGACGGTTTGAACTAAGAATTTGAGCATATCTAACAGTAAACCTTTTTAAATGAATAAAATACTACTTTAATTGATGCCATGATGAATACTGGCGGTAACTGAAAACAGACTATCCAGTCTTAACATTCCTTTACAATCACAAACTTTCAGTATTTGTTAAAGATATTATTATCAAATATATTGTACATGATAATATGGATGTTTCCCCGAACATCGATTTCCTCGTTTATATCCGTAACAATTACAAATCAGAAATAAGTTAACAATGACGTAGCAATTGGAATTTATGTCGCCGCTCAGACACTTATTTCACTCAGACAGATATTCAAGCGTGGTTGTTAACATTGTCTCTTCTTGGTAGTTTTGCGTGTTATTCGTCAGTTTTTAGCTGTATTTTCAAAAAATGGTTTTAAATCAATTGTCGTTTGTCTTCTGAACCCCTTTAGTTTAGTTACAATAATCCAAAATTAATATCGCAAACGCTGCGATATACTAGCCTGAAATTAGCTATCTATACCTATAAGCGGCACGTAGTTTATTGTTTTGAATAGAAATGATACTTTTGAACATATGAGCCAGTTTGTAAGCGCACATTTCCAAAACACTCTCAAAATCAACGTTGAACATTTTGCAATGATAAAGTATAGAAAGTATCTTTTAGGGGTCAAGGAAACGTCCATTTTTAAGTTATTCCTTACATATTACGTATTTTTGGCAGCAAAAAGGGGTCGAAGATGATAAAGACGCTACAGATTTGGAAGGAAAAGAAATTACAACCCCCACTACAAGTGTTCAAAGCATTCAAAACTCCGATGCATCATCAGCATCTAAAACTCAAGTTTAATGATTGCGTCATGATTTAAATATGACGTCACACTGCCTCTATGACACCATGAACACAATTGTTCCACTGCCAACTAACTGCAAATTTATCTCTCTCTTCCACAAAATGTGGTAGATATACTAACTTACATGCACGAACTAATAAGTACCTGGATATGACTGCTTGAGGCTAACCAATGATAAACATCATCTCCTTGTAAATTGAATGGAGAAATTCAGACTCTCGTCCGCAATACTTCATTTATTTTACTATCACATCGAACTAGCCAACAATGCGTAGAAAATCAAAGATTGATTACTATCAGTGACCATTTGTTTTCCACCAGACATCTTCTGTTTTCCACCCACCGGTTCTTCTAAGATTTTGAAGACAAATTATTGACAGACTTCATGGTAAACAATATTACATGTACGGTATCTACGGTGATACACAGCACACATAGAGCAAAAAGAAGAGGCTTTGTTTGATCCATCCAGTGCTAACTGTATTTTTCTTTTAATTTCAAGTTTTTATGTCGCATCGATATATTTTGCGCCTTTTGTACAGTGTGATATAATATCGCAAATAAACAATGCGAAAAAGTTGAATTTTTTTTGGATTGGGAAGGGCAGTCAACTGAAGCAATAATAGTTTATACTTACTTTGTATATTGAACTTCCGTACGATCATGTTTACATATAATATTCCATGAATCGCCAATTCCGATATTAAAAAATTAATATGAGAGCAAAATTATACAAAAATTTAAGTTGGTCAAACATTAAACTGTCACGATCACTTAGAAGCCTGCACATAATCATGAATATTTGAAATATTTCCCTTCCTCTCAGACACCAGTTTTGGTGAGATGGAACAATTTTATGATATAGAGCAGTGGTTCCCAAACTTTTTTGACAATCGCCCCCCTATAGTAGCTTATACAACTTCATCGCCCCCCGGCAATACGAAAAATATAAAGTCAGAAACGAATATATTACAGACCAAATAAGAAGACAAATCATAGTTTATAGTGTTTTTTAATGAAATAGATGAGCTTGGTGTTCTTCAGCGAGTTTTTTATTGTATCTAAAATTACCCCGTTTACTGGTGGAAAGGCGATTTCGTTGTTTTGATAGCAATAGTAGCACGGCTGAAAACCCCTTTTTCACCATATTATAGGTCGGAAATGAAAGAATCCAGGGTTCTACCTCCTCAAAAACCGCCGTGTACTCTTGCCTTATAGTATTTCACTTCCTAAATTCACCCTATTCCACATTAAAATAATGAAAACAAAGTTAATTTTCCCAACTTATATTAATGATTTTCGTACATCCCATTCATTCGTACAGCATGATGACATGCACCAAAATACTTTGGTAAAATTCATCCCCGATTCCTCATCCTACCACGGCCTCCAGTCCGATCACCAGTCCATAATTAATCAGCCATTTGTTTTTGGATTCATGGACTCGGATGTGGAAGAAGTCGTGATCGACTATCGGCTACGGCTCGCGGGACAAAATTCAGGGTTGCCAGTCTTTTGCGGGTCGCATATATTTTTTGAAAGTTAAAAACGAAACATCGCGCGAAAACTGCGACAATTCGTGAACTCAACTCAGTCGTCTTATTAGAAAAATATTACAATGACATTTATTGTGACACTGTCTTGTTGCTGCATCACGCTGAATAGCTTTACGACGCCAAAATTGGAACATTTTCTAAATGGGCATCACTAATCCCAGTTCTTTGCTTGTTCTTTGTAATGTTCATTTTTTATCCGGACATGGACTTCCTTGTTTACTTCGTAACATTGGCCAATCAGCAAGATGCAAAAACGTAACAATGGCCCCTTTCACATCCGCTCAGACACGCTCACTCGACAGATTTTCAGGCGTGGTCGTGAACATTACCTCAGTTTCGCTTTTTGAATTATGTTCGTTAGTTTTTAGTTGTTTTTCGGAAATTTGAATATAAATCAAATAAATCAATGATTACTTTGTCTTCCTATGAGTTTCAGTTTAATTACAGGAATCAAAAATTAGTGTAGAAATAGCTGTGATAGACTATAGGCTAAAATTCTTTATCGGTACTTTTAAAAAACAGATTGTTGAATGGTGTGTATTAGAATGATAGTTTGAAACAAATACCCCATTTTACAGGCAACAACTCGCGAAACCACGCTTAAAATAAACACCGAAAATTTTAAAATGGTAAAGTATGGGAAGAATTTTCCGCGGTCAAAGGTCGGGGAAAGGTCCATTCAGCGAATCGTATCGGGCCAGATTATTTTACTCCGGCCGTATTTTGCCGACCACTGGGATACGCAACTACCGTCCCTTACTGCGAAGACGAGTCCAGAAATCCTTTCGCGTGTGATAATCGCCCACGTGATTCAAGCCTGCGAATGCACACAGATTACAGAATTAAGTGCGCCGAACATAAAACAGGTTTCGCGAAATCGCCCCCTCCGACTTTTTCGCCCCCTCTGTATCGTTTTCGCCCACTGGGGGACGATATTGCCCACTTTGGGATTCACTGAATAGAGGACGTGCACGGGTCACGTGACTTTGTTTACTGGACGGCAAAAATACAAAAACGCCCAGCTGGCTCCTGTCAGTTGCAAGTCGGATTATACGTTTCCGTTTTGTTTGGCTGTTGAAAATGGTTATTTCGTATTGTTCCGTTGGCTGTACGTATAGTATAGACCAGTGATTCTCAAAGTGGGCGATATCGCCTCCCGGTGGGCGAAAACGATTCAGAGGGGGGCGAAAAAGTCGAAGGGGGCATCGTACACTTACTATGCTATGCGTGCTTTCGTAGGTTTGAATCGCGTGGGCGATTATCACACGCCAAAGGATTGCTGTACTCGTCTCCGCAATAAGGTACGGCAGTTTGCGTATCCCAGTGGTCAGCAAAATACGGCCGGAGTAAAATAACCTGGCCCGGGACGCTTCACTGAATGGACCTTTACCCGACCTTTGACCCCGGAAAATATTTTGTACACTTTTCCATTTTAAAATTTTCGGTGCTTATTCTAAGAGTGGTTTCGCGAGTTGTTGCCTGTAAAATGGGGTATCCATTTCAAACTATCATTCTAATTCACACCATTCAACAATTTGTTTTTTAAAAGTACCGGTAAAGTAAATTTTAGCATAGTTTATCAACGCTATTTCTATACTAATTTTTGATTACTGTTATTAAACTGAAACTCCTAGGATGACAAAGTGATCATTGACTTATTTGATTTATATTTAAAACAACTAAAACTAACGAATATAATTCAAAACGCGAAAATGAAGTAATGTTCACGACCACGCCTAAAAATCTGTCGGAGTGAGAAATGTATCTGATCAGATGCGAAAGGGGGCATTGTTACGTTTATTTTTGCATCTTACTGATTGGCCAATGTCACGAAGTAAACAAGGAAGTCTATGCCCGGGGAAACATTCAAGCGGCGGTTTTGACTAAGAATTAATTTTATTCATAATCTACGCAAGGAATAAATTGCATTTTTTTACGTAACAGAATTCATCGTGAGACACGTTTTGACTTAATTTCATTATATCCTGAAAATTCTGCTGAACAGCTGCTCGTTTAACGAGCCTACAATTTAATTATAATTAGACAAATGGAAACACGCAGAAAAGTTGATGCCGAGTGCAGGGGTTCAATAGCGCAGTAAATATTCGAATATATTGCAATGCAATAAGGAAATTTAATTTATATTCTATTCGGGAGATTCGTTCACTACTTAATTTTTGTAAGAATGTATCTCCCCAAATCTGTATCTGCCTGAAATTTCTTAAGTGCCCGATTTAAGTATTTGGGGCTTGTGGTTGCCAGATTTAATCATTCATATTCAATTTCAAATAAATCCAAAAAGTACGATGGTTACCTCCCAGATAGCACAACTACGTTGGGCCAACGTTATAATCCGCTGGCAACCGTTGTACGCGGTTTTACAACCATTTACCATGGTAAGGCCATGATTGGCCTTCAACGAAACAGGCCATTATGCGAAGAAATGGGCGCGCGATTCGAATACAGCACATGAGGTCGTCATTCATTTTGGCGGTACTCGTAATCGATATACTGTTTGTTACGGGCTATCTTAGATTCTATACCTCACTTTTGGTCTCTTAAATAGCTATATTATAACTCTTTTTTGAGACTTACTACTGTGAATCTGATTGTCATATCAGTTATTTTATGTATTTATTGCGTTATTTTTGTTTTGCTTATGTTTATTTGTTGTGTTGTTTTTATATGGACCACAGCGGTCTGGAGTAATAAACGAATTGAAATTAAAATTGATATCCTGTTGCGAGGTTTTTGCCCTGGATGGGACAGTGAAATTGAACTTTTAATGCTTTCATAGTAGAATGGCGAAAGTAGAGATAGTTGTGACCGTGTAAGTTAATCTCATGGTACTGGTACCGTAAGTGCGTTGCCAGGTCACGGTTTATAAGGGTGATACGGTACCATACCGGTAAAAGTTACATATTTATCCCTGGACACCGTAGGTACCGGTAACGACAGAACGAAATGAGGTACCGGTACGTTACCGTACTTGGTCTTTTGGCATTTTTTTTTGTTAAACTTTCTGAGGTTGCCATCTCTCATTTACCAGTATTCGTTATCCAGTACCGGTATTGGTCCTGCATCCCTGGATATGATTTTTTATATTTAGACTACTTTATTTGTCTAAGTGCAAACATTTCCGCAGCCCAAATCCAACCCTTTAGATGACTTAATCCAGTACCGGTAATCTGAATAGTTGTACATTTGTGAACCTTCTGTCTGATGAATTTCAACAAATCTAAATACAGATCTCAGTTGGCTGAAATCTAAAATATGTTTTAACAATTGCCACAATCAAACTGAAACTAAAATTTGTAACAATTTTGTTTTGTAACTTTTTACGCCACACATGCGAGATGCGACATGGCCCGCCAGTCTAGGTGCGCAAAATTTTTGCACGCGGTCCGAGAACTTTGCCCAACCCTGCTCTAGTTCATATTTTCATCTTTGTTGAGAAATAAATTACTGATTTCTGAGTAATATCTATTTCGTTTTAAATTTCAATAGAATTATATTGGGTATATATTAATATGATTTATTTTCAGTATGTATATATGCTATGTAAGCTTAACCAACCAACATTAATTAAGTGTTATTATATTTTAAAGTGAATTGGAAAGTAGGCCGCTAGCAAAAAAGATTCGGGCGACTGGACGAAGCCCATCTCTGTACAATGACTGCCAAATGTGCATGCAACTGTGCAATGCCCAGCGACTCTAAAAGCATGAAGTATTGTACGACACATCCTTTACAAATATTTGGACATATTTTGTGTAATATCCATTTTTTTCCGGTTATTCTTAATAATTATTACCGATTAGTTATTCTGTCAAGTGTCAATATTACAATTGTTGTGAGTTTGATGATATATACCATTTTTGTAATAGGCTCTATGACAATGGACTGAAAAATTCACCTGCTTCAATTCCCTCTTTCACGCAATCATAGACTGTGTCATTTCAAGCATCTCAATGTTTCAATGCGGACAATGCCCAAAACAGGTGTTTTTGTATTATAGTTTGATAGT